GAGAGTCCAGGAGTGTTAGTCCACTAAATTTCCCTCAGGCAGATCTGAGAAGTGGGAAGAGGAGTTCTTCCCTCACAGTTCTTACCCTCCAACTCATCTGCAGGTTTTCTAGGTAGCTACTGTAAGATTTTCAACTTAACATTGTTGTTGACAATGCTCACCTATTCATCATTGAAAAACTGATTACTATTGAGCCTTTGTTACATGGAGGTGGATTTAAGATAAGTTCATATTAGAGATGCTTTTGTATAGTTCTGAGATGTTAATAACTGTTCATTTGGGTGTGAAATTATTTTAAATAATTGATTTTATCAATTATTTAAAGGAAGTAAATAAAGGAAGCAAGTAAAGGAAGCTACTGAAAATGTAAGGAATAACTTAGAGGAAGTCAGAAATATTACATGATTATATATTGGTTTTGCAGAGTTCTGTTCATTTTAGTACAAATCATAAAAATCCCTTCTATTCCTTTTAATCAATAGGGCTTGTGATCACATATGGTGAAAGTAGGTCATCAGATTATGAGCAAAGTACGGAGAAACTGCCAGGCCAGAAAATGTGAGTGTGTATTTTGTTCTGGTCAGGTGAGGCTGGGCAGTTTGACACTCCTGGAGAATTATACTAACACCTCAATATAAATAGTGCTTACAGTTTATTTCCATGAGCTCACCTGGGTTTCATAACTACCTTGTAAAGTAGTAACAGGGGCTTGACTATCCCATCTTACAGATAAGGAGACAAACTTTGAGAGGTGATGTGGTGGTTCAAGGTTACAGAGCCTGGGAAATGGCACAGATAGGACTTTCCTCATTGCTTTTCTTTAAAACATTAGTTTTGTGTGTAATATTTATGTAAATCAATTTTTCATCTTAAAAGTAACTTGAAAAGATTTTAAATAATTGGGAAAGAGGAGAAAAAAGCCAACAATTACTTCTCTACCCAATATAAGTCAGTATAAACTGTGAGTTCTCAGAGGGTGACAACAAAATCTCCGGGTCAATAATTGAAAGGTATTGGGAGTTTGAGGTCTGGTTACTGAGAATCCCAGTTTGAGGGGAACCCGAATGGATAGAAAATCTTTGATTGTGGCTCTTAGGCAAAGGGGCTCCTGGGCTCCTGGATAAAGCAGAAACTTTCTCTGGATGACACACTTAGCAGACTCTAAAATTCCATTTCCATCTGTTCCCTTGATTCATAACAGCCTTCCTCTTCCCTCACCACACACATATCCTCATATTGTCATGAATAATACACTGCTGACATGTTGACTGTTTCTTAAGGAGTATAACCTTTGTTTCTCCTGTACACATTGTGAAATGGGGGGGCATTTTAAGGATGAGGCAGTGGGGTCAGGAAGGTTAAGTGACTTTCTGAAGATCATGTGGCAAGAGAAAGGCAATGCCGACTGCCCATTTCTAGTCCCGGAATTGCCATCCTATCATGTCAGGCTTGAGGAGGATGCCATGTTGATGAGCCTCTTGCAAGATATGTGGCTGTTTTTAAATGGCCATACCCTTGACTCCAGTCTGATTGGACAGGTGTGGCGGGGCTGGGCAGAAGTGTTTGAACGTCTTCTGCTAGGTGTGGGCAAGCATTTCAGGCTCTTAACCTAAGGAGGCAGTATTCGTTTTAGGAAGAGGAGTGTGTGAGTGGTACCCAGGATGGATTAGAGCAAAATGAGTGTTATCTGGGATCTTGTTGGGCCCATCCCAGGCCTACTGAGCCCGGAACTCTGGTGGTGGGGCCCAGCAGTGTGTTTTATAACAGGCCCTCAAGGTAAGTCTAATACACTCTGAAGCTTGAGAACCACTGACTCAAAGCCAGAACAGTCAGGAAGGCATTCTTGGAGACTGTTTGAGATCTCAGAGTTGAGGTGAGAAGAGTCTCAGTTAGTGTGATAGCAATGGAAATGGAGAGAACTGACTCCACGGGATGTTGCAAAAGTTCTGGCTGAGATTCAGCTTGCTCTCTTAGTCATTCCTTGCCAAACACATGATGGTGCCAGTATTACTAAGATGCTTAATTCCATGTGAGCATCTTAGTAAACCACTTAGAAGGTGGAGTTTACAGGATTTGGAGGTGCTGAGCTCCCACTTTTGTTTATCTCTGTAAGCTGGAGCATTTACATGCATCCTGCCAGGTGACAGTGTGGCCAGCTGAGATGCAGAGGTGATTGTTTGTTCAGCAAGGGGACGGTATCTGCTCACAGCCCCTTTCCCTGTAGTAAAAGAGGAGTTGTAACCTGAGACCTGGTGGGAGTGAACATTAAGAGAAAGGGGGGGGTGTGGTTAAATGGGGAAACCTAATAGTTGAGGGGGTGATTAGAATGGGAGCGGGGGTTTCTGAGTTACCAGTTTCTTTTTGTCCTTAGCATAAAACCCATTTTCCCTGCCATTATGGTTCCTGCTTTCTGCTTGCCTACAGTACTCATTTTCTCATGCTCTCTGCCTTGCTTACCACGTTCCCAGCTTAGAATCTCTCCCCTCCCCTCAACCTGGATATTCCCAGGGCTGGATCCATAACATAGCCCTCAGAGGTCCCCCTTTCAGGGCTTTCCATGACCATGCTCATGAATGTTGGGCCTCATCCCACCCACCTTCCCAAACCAGATTCTCTCTCAGACTATTTAACCCAACCTGAGATGATCGTAGTCAGTTGCTGGTCTTCTTGCGTAGGTTTGCACTTCTGCCCGGGAAGAATGAAGGCCACTTCAGACCCCTGGATCCTGTGTGTCTTGTTTATTGTTGTATTCCCAGCCCCCAGGAGGTACCTGGCACATAGTTAGAGTTCCATACATGTTAGCTGAATGGATTCTAAGTAGAGATTTGATTGGAGTAAAAAGTAGGGGTAGGAAATGGGGGAGAATGTGATTGTAGACACCAGACAGCAAGTGATGGCTGAGTTGGACTGGGTAGTAGAGGCAAAACAAGGTAAACCCAAGAAATACTCGGGAAGTAACACTGACCAAATTGGGTGATGGACCGAAGGGAGGTGTCAGGCAATCTTCCTGAGAGAGGTTTGTGAACTCCTAGCCTTCTTTTTAGCCTCTTTAGTCACTGTAAACTTAAGGGCAAAGCAGTTGTGGATTATTCAGCATTCTCCAGAGAATCAGGACCAATAGGTTATATAGATGAGGAGATTTATCTTGGGACTTGGCTCCTGTGATCATGGAGGCCTAGAAGTTCCATGATCTGCGGTCCCTAAGCTGCAGAACCAGGAAAGCCTGTGGTGCAGTTCAGTTCAGTTGGAAGGCTGGAGAACCAGGAGCACAAGAGAGTACACAAAGTCACTCGTCCTCTGCTTTTTGTTTTAGTCAGGCCCTCCATGAACTGGAAGATGCCCACCCATATTGGGGAGGGGCATCTGCTTTACCCAGTTCACCAATCAACAGCTAATCTCTTCTGGAAACACCATCATAGATACGTACAGAAATAGTATGTCATCAGCTGTCTGGACATCCATTAGCCCAGCCAAGTGGACGTGTAAAATGAGCCATCACACATTTTTAGCTCTTCAGCTACTCCTCCACCAAGATTGTCTCATTTCTGCACCTCCCTAGAGGAGACGTACCTTCAAGGTCTAGACACGAGGGATTCTGTTTCTGCCCAGGTCAGCTTTACCTAACCACCCATCCAGCCATCCCCCCGCTCAACAATATTTATGGAGTGTTTACTATGCCCTAGATACCACGGGAGGTGCTGGTGACACAGCGGTGACTAAACACAACCTCCTTGCATTCATATCCTAGAGAGGGAAGGTAGACAAAGACAGATGTGCCCACAAACACTGCACGGGACACTTTGGATAGTAAAAAGTGGTATGGAGTGAAAAACAGTGAGAGAGGATGGGGCGGGGTCCGTGAGGCAGTTCTGAGTTGGTGCTTTTGAGCTAAGATCCGAATAACAGGAAGTTGCTGGCCATAGGAGTTTTGGGGCAGAGGCGCATTCCCTGTAGAACCTTCAAAACCCATTTCTGTTAGATGCGTACCTAGTGAGATTTTGTTTTCATGCTTGAAAGAATGAATTTGGAGAGGTTGGAGGCATGGAAATGAAACTTGACGTACTTTTAAATAAATCATACTGCTCATTTAGCTATCGAAATATATTTGGAAATATTTTTCTATTAAAATTGTTACAGAAACTTTTTAGAGATGGCTTTAGTTTTAAAGAGCAAATTTCTGTTCATCTAATACTTAACATAATTTTCAGTGGGGTAAAATCATGACTCTCATAGAGGTGTAGAAATGGACACATTTTAAAGACTTAACTCATTAATCAATGAGGGAACCAGGCAGATCTTAAAAACAGATTCAAAGGAGAAATGAAAACAACACAAATGTATATGGAATGAAGGAGGGTTGAAATGAACGTGCAGATTCGTGGACAGCCAGCTTGTTCTACCCTGGGGGGAAGTCCCTTGAACCTCTCCTGGCCAGGACTTAATTGACATACCTGCACACAGCAGTTACTTGCATTGCTCTCATTTACTTAACAATTCATAGAGTTGTAAGGTAGCTCCAGTAAAGTCAAAAGCAGCTAACCTGGAGGAGTCTTCTCTAGGCAATTCAGTTTTCCACTGAAGCACATTTTCCCCTTTATATAATCAAAATAAAACTAAACAGCTCCTGCTCCCCATGAGTAAGGGCGGTTCCTCTGTTTGTCGTCTTTGGAGTGACAGAGGGGTGGAGGAGGGGGTGACTGTCATTTATTCACTGCCCACCATGAGCATTGCGTGTCACCTGTTCCACCCTCACAATAGCCCCACGAAGTAGGTGGGGGTGCTCCCATTTTACAGAAAAGGAGGTCAGCTTGCGGAGGTTCCAGACCCTGCTAATGAAGTGGCAGAGTCAGCAGAACAGCCCATCTGTGTCTCCAGAGTATACACATACACACACACACACACACACACACACACACACACACACACACACACACTCCCTGTGACAACTTGCTAATAGTAAAAGCTGTGGAAATGCTATAGGTTATTGTTTTGATCTCTAGGTCGGCATCGGCCAAGCTGGATCTCAAGAGTGGCCTGGGAGAATGTGAAGTGGCGCTGAAATTATTTCTGAACAACAGATTTAGAGATGCCTTAGAATTGCTGCAACCATGGTAATTAACTTTATTTCTTTTAGGTAAAATATGTTTTTTCAGATACGTTTGGTGACTCTTTTATGTCGTTCTTGTCAGTAAATTTATCTGTATTTCCACATGAATATTTGGTTGAGATTCCTTACTGTTGGTTAGTTTTAATATTCAGTTAAGAAATTTGTCTTTTCAACTGTAATCAGTTGAACATTTAGAACATTTCTGATTCTTATATTTTAATTTCTTTAATGTTTAAATAGTGTCATTTATATAGTTTTGTAGAGTTCCATTTTGCTTTCTGCAGTGAGATATTTTTATGGATGTTCCTCCTAAGCTTAAATATAATTGAGAAAAGTTTCTGTCGAAGTGGGTATGGGAAGAACTAGAATATGGTAATCTCACATTCTAAAAAATTCAAGATATTATAAATATTGGGGCTCCCTGTTTATGTGATAAACAAGTTAATAACTTCATATAAATTAATATGCATGTTAATTTTTAAAATGTGGCAGCAAAACCTGTGCTCAGCCTTCTTACTAGGCCTGCAGTGAGACTTTAGAAATACTTGCCAGGAATACCTGCTCTTACCCTGCGCCTTCAGACACAGTTACCTACTTAGATGGAGCTTAGATCTCATAGTTTTCTAGAAGGTTAGCTGGGCACAAAAGTAGCAGTCTCATTCCTTTGAGCCATCAATAGGGTAATGTGATTCTGGTCCTTGCTTTGAATCTTAGAAATTAATTTACTGACCAAGGAGCTGCTTTGGTAATTTTATTAAGATTTAGAAGACCTTGGTCACTTAGCATGTCACAGGTTAGGAGCATATGTTAGAGTAGATGGTGAAGCCCATAGCCTAAAGAAATTGTCGTGTTGTCTCCAACACTTTTCTCGAAACCTCTACCTTGCCTGCCTCCTGCCTCTTCCCCAGTGACTCCTCCATCTCTCCATCTTGTGACCCTCCCTCCCTCCGTCTTCCTCTCCCTCTTTTTTTCTTCATCTCTCCTCTCTCAGCCTGCTTTCCTATCTGCATCAGCTCCTAGTCAGACAGGACTTCTTTTCTCTGCCACTGATACCCAGCCGGGCATATATGGGATAAAAATGACTGATTTAGCATAGTATTTTGTGAAGTTATATATTCTCTGATATTTATGCATATTTCATTCTTAAACATAGCTTTTTTTCTTGAATACTTTTTTTCCTCTTGGAGGAACTTCCAGTTTAATTATGAGGTTTAAAACCACAATTACTGGTTAACTTCCGGGTCTCATTCCTTGCAGTCCTTTGGAACAGCCAGGGCCCTCACTGTTCAGGACAAACTGCCAATTACCAAAGGCTGTTTAGAGTTTTTCCAAGGGGGAGAAGGAGCACAGTGGTTTCTGTTCATTTTGCATGGCAGCAGGCTGTTGTGAATGTATTTGAATTAAAAATGAAATCATGCATTGATATTTCAAATCTTATAAATAATTAACATTATTTAGGAAGTTTTGAGAAATGTGATGGTGAGGTTTTTTTTTCACAGCCTGAGAATCTGGAATACCTGCCATACATTAGGACTAATTGACCACCTCAAGAATCTAAGTGATTCTCACTGATAACCTGATAATTTGGATGGCCAAGAACTTTAACCAGGAAACGTAGATAGTGGAATTAGATTAGATACACGGTTGGAAAAGTACTTTTGTCAGGGTCCATTGCTACTGACCTAATTTCGTTGTAAAAATCTTTCTTCCTCTTGACCTCTGGCTGGGGTAGAAAAGCAGATGATTTTAAATGAATCTTTACCTTTCAAAAAACATCTGAATCTGTCACAAAATATATTTCCAGTAGCTGTTATTTTAGCACTTAATATCAGAGCCGAAGACAGCACACTGCCCCTTGTTCAACAGGGAGAAATGGTTGGAAATGAATTCGCAGGCTGCCCCCTTGTGCTGAAACAGGGAAAAGTATCTCGTCTCATTTTGTTCTAACCTGGAATGTTCTGTGCTGCCCGTGTGGGTTTAAATTGGAAAGTCCTCGATACTTGAGTGTTTGAGGACTTGTCCTTTACCATCTGTATTATTTCAGGGACTATAGTAAAGGATAGATATTAATATTATCACGGTGAAAGTCCAGACATGCGTTTATTGGGATTTCTCTTGATTACCGTTAGACAAGACCAGAATGCTTTTCAGTCGAGTTGAAATGTGCTAATTCCCTGTGTTTCCCCCAGGGCTAAGGACAGCATGTACCATGCCTTGGGCTACAGTACCATTGTGGTACTGCAGGCCATCATGACCTTCGAGCAACAGGACATCCAGAATGGCATTTCCGCCATGAGGGACGCCTTACAAACCTGCCAAAAGTAGGAACCGCGTAATTAAAAACTTGGGATATGACTCAAAGTAAAAGTATGTGTGACACAAAAGTAAACCTTTATGTGCGTGTGATAAAATGAGTGCAGTTTGCCCGACTGAGAGCTCTTTTTGAAGTTGGCACAGTTGTAGGAAAGGACTTGAGAGTCAAAGCTTGCTTGGCCTCGTGTAGTTTTATGTAGTAGAGACAAACTTTTCTGTTAGGAATTACAGTACAGTTCTTGTTTGGCCAAACACTTGGCATCTGTGCCTTCTACTTTTCTTTTGGTAACTTGAACTACAGAGAAGGGCGGAGGGAGATTTCAGTGGGGTAGCAGAAAGCATCTCAAGGGTCTCCTGTGGGGGGAGACCTTAACTACAGCACCTCAAGCCAGGCCAGTCAGGGCACATTCTAATTCGCGTAAGAGATGCTGCAAATTCAGAGGGGAATGTTTTATTTGTTTAAAAAGAATGTAGTTGAACACTTTGTTGGTGAAAATGAACTAGATTTTCAAATTTAATTTTTGCTCTGTGTGCTTGGGAAGACTCAAAGCAAAGCTGTTCTCTCGCATTGGTGAATTTTAATACTGTGGGATTATGTACTCATGTAATCATGTGGCAATCCCCCATATGAAGAAAACTTTCAGCTATTGAACTCTGAGTTTCATCCTTTACCCGTGGTGAATTTTCCCTCAGAAACACCGCTCTCGGCCATAGAAATCAGGGAAGGTGCTTGGCAGGGTTGGCGTTCACTATTTTGGTTGGGTTTTCCGCTCACGTGTTCGGTGAGCAGGGGCTGAGCGCCCAGAGCAAGGCAGCCCAGTGCTGGGAGATGGGGATTCAGGGCCCAAGGGGGCGGGCCTTGCCCTGCGGACTTCAGTGCTGGGCTCTGTCTTGGTGACTCTTTGGTGCGATTGTGGCTGAGGTGACTGTTGAATGAAAATGAGCTCAGGCTAATAATTTATTGTTATTTTTCTTTCTGTTTCCTTCCCTTCTGCTGATTCTATGCAGATATAGGAAAAAATGCACAGTTGTAGAATCTTTCTCAAGTTTTCTTTCTAGAGGATCATTGGAACAGATGACTGAAGGTAAGAGTCATTTAAAAGGTTATTTTTCTTGTCTTTGGACGTTTGAAATGTGATCATGCTCCTAAAATTCAATACTTAAGTGTATCGTATAAAATCAGTGGAATGCCTTTCTCTTTCCCATCTTACCCTCCAGAAGTAACCATTGGTAGTGGTCGGTTTTGAAGCCTTGCAGACTTTTCTGTGTACATATGTAAACATATACACATAAGGTACACATGGGGTTTTTGTAGTTGTTCATGAATCGTTCCCTTTTGCAGTCATAGAATCACATTATATATTTTCTCCTACAACATGATTTTTTTCTTGATATTAACGTTTCCCCATGCCAGTACATATTACGTGTACTTCATTCCATGTAATAGCTCTGGTAGTAGTTTTCCATGGGATGGGGTGCCATAAATTACTTGCTTTTTCTCTGTTGAAGGACAGTTGCATTGCTTTTACTTTTTCACTATTATAAATAATGCTACCTAAAAATCTTCTACCTCTGTCTTCATGCATTTTTTGTAAGTATTTCAGAGGGCAGAGTCCTAAAAGTGGAATTACTGCAACTTAGGATTTGAAAATTGATAATATTTATAGGTGCTGCCTATATTTTCTCTAAAGAGTTAGGTCAGTTTATATTCTTACCGTCCATGTATGAACGCTGCTATTTCTTGGCAAGCTATTAAAAGCTTTTTTCAAGGTAAGAGTAATTTTGATACCCTAAAAAACATTGGTAATGTTTCACAGTCTGGGAAATGTTTGGTTTGTGGACATTCAGGACATATTCTAGAACCCAGGAATGGCTGCTGCGCCTCGGTCAGATGGGTCGGGGAGGGAGTGACTGTTGTCAGTGCTGCCTGTGCCCACTGAGATCAGGGCAGAAGTTTCATGATCAGCTCTGTTTTATAAGTGTTGCACTCCAGTTAGAATTGATTACCCAGATATCCTGCAGAAGAGAAAATATGTTCTTCAGATAAGGCCATGCTAGAACAAAGCTTCTGCCATCCAAGGAGCATCTGTGCATGTGTTGTCCTTGTCGAATTTGCTGTCTGCAAGAGGTAACACAAAACAGTGGCGTGGCCCTGGCTGAGCAAGGCAAGTGCAATTCTGGATGCTGCTGGCAGAGTCATTCTTGGTCTTCAGGGGTGTGCCAGGCTCACTTCTGAACGTCTTTTATTATGAAGTTTTCTTTTGCCAGAGGAACTTGGGAACATTTGCATGATGCGAGTCTAGGGCACTGATTACAGCGGAGGACTGTGGGGCTTGTTCCAAAGGCTATGATGGTGCCCTTGAATCATCATAGACAGAATGGCATGCCATGGGTCACTCCAGGCAGCTGATGCCCTTCTTCTTCTCCAGAAAATGACCTGTAAGAACCCATAAGAATTTTCTTTATCCCCTTGATTTGGGGTAGAATATACCTTCAGATTGTTCAACTTTGGGCCATTGATGTAAATTGGCCCCAGTAGTCCGGAGTTTACTAAAGTAGGTCTGTGGGAGATTAAATGTGCTCCAAAGAAATTTGACTCTTTTATTTATAGTCTTCTTCCTGGTTTTCTATGATTTCCCTCCGGTAGCGTATTACCTCCTGCTTTCCTTTTTCTTTGCAATGTGAAGGCTTGCGTTTGAGATTTTTTTACCTTAGTTTTGGGAACAATAACATGGTATTTTTAATGTAAGTATAAATAATAATACTAATTTAAAAAGTAATAGTGATAATGCCCCATTGTGTCTATGTGTCAGGCATTGTTCTTAATGCTTTTCTTCACATTAGTCAATTGAATCTGTGTAGTCTCCTTTTTGTGGACTAGGAACTAATGTTCAGAGGGTTAAACACATGGCCCGTGATTACATGCCTAGCAGAGCAGGGTTCAAACCTGACCTGCCTTTCCCTAAGCTATGGTTCGTTCCCTGAGCTTTCTCCTGTAGGCATGTAGAAAAGGGCACAGACTGTGTCATATATGGATAAGGAAAATGTTGGATTGTTTCTGTTAGACATCTTGAAAATAGATGGGACTGTGTCCCTATCTTTATTATGTCTTTAGACATGGCAGTTTCTATCTACTCCAAAAATCTGGAGTAGGTAGAAAATTACTGTATACTACATATTAAAAAAAACAGCAATGAGATACTACTGCATACCTGTTAGAATGTCCAGAATCTGGAGCTCTGACAACAGGAAGTGTTGGCAGGGAGGTGTGGTGGGACGGCAGGAACCCCTTTCATGGCTGGTGGGGGTGCAAAGCGGTGCAGCCACTTTGGGAGGCAGTTTTACCGTCTCTTATGAAACATACAGTGCAATAACCATTCCCCTTAGTACTTACTCAAAGAGTGGAACTATGTCCATAGAAAGACCTGCCAATGAATATTTACAGCAGCTTGATTCATAAATGCCAAAACTTGTAAGCAACCAAGGTGTCCTCCAGTAGGTGAGTAGATAAATACACATCCAGACAATGGAATATTATTTAGCACTAAAAAAGAGCGATCAGGCCTGGGCAAGACACGGGAGGAACCTTATATGCACGTTGTTAAGTGGAAGACACCAATGTGAAAAGGCTACATGCTGTATGATTCCAAGTATATGACATTCTGGAAAAGGCAGAACTGGTGACAATAAGAAGATCAGGGTTGCCAGGGGACCGGCTGGGGGATGAACAGGTAGAGAACATGGAGGGGGTTGAGAGCAGTGTGTACTCTGTGTGATGCCACGGTGGTGGAGACATGTCACTGTACATTTGTCCAGACAGAATGTGTGACACCCCCCGTGGAACCCAGTGTAAACTGTGGGCTTTGGATGATGCTGATGTCAGTGGAGGCTCACCAATGGTCACAGATGATCACAAATGTTGATTAGTAGGCAGTGCCCATGTGACATGGGAGGGGGTAGAGGGTGTGGGCAGTCACTGTACCATGCACTCAATTTTGCTGTGAGCCTAACACTACTCTAAAATGAAGTTAATTACAAATAATAAAAATAGATTAACTTGGGACTATGGCCTATTCTTGAAATATAGGTTTATGTAAACTTTTCTATCTAAAGGCATGCTTAGCTAACATTTCAGTGCAAAATAAAGATATTTCCTTTAGTGAAATAAGGAATTGTGAGGAAATAAGACTTTTATAAATTAAGTTGCATTTTATTTCTAATGAATTCAGCTGCCACTGTAACCCAGGTAGACTTTGTATTCAAGGGAGCATGTCAAAACATTGTAGCTTTAGTATATGATTTGTTTTTCTTTTTGGTCATTTTTATTAACATCCTTGAGTGGTTGGTTGTGTGCAAGAGTGAATATATTTAATTAAACTTTTCATGGGTTTAACATGGAAGATACCCATTTTCTCTTGTGGCTGGCATAGTGCCCTAAAGGCTTTCAAATTACCTCTAAGGACAGATATTTATATACAGTGCTTAAGATGTGAGAGGGCTTTAATAGGAAGAATATGTGCACCAGGTATATAGAGTTCAAACTTTCTTATCTTTACCTCTGCGTTCTGCTTACACCCTTTAGCTGCTCTTAGATTTATTGCCCATTAGCCTTTTGCTCAGATCTCTGCAAGGACTCACTGTCGCCTACTGAATTGAGCCCAGACTCTGACATTCAAGGATGTCTACAATTTAGCCCCGGCCTGCATTTCCAGGCTCACAGGCTACTCATCCCTTTACACCTTGTGCTTCATTCAGCCCAAGGCACACCCTCAGGTGATCTGCGCTTTCCTTGCTCCAAGCCATGCCTGGGCCCGTCCTGTCCCAGCCCCAGCGCACCCCTCAGCACCTGCCCCGAGCCAGCAACCTGTGTGCCTGAGCAGGCTTTCAAAGTGAATAGTTCCTAACAATGCCCACTCATTCCAAACGTACCTAGGAAGAGGATATTCAAATGACCTTGTGCAGGAGTTACCAGTTTTTATCCCACTGAACACCCTGAGAAGATCCAAAAGCACGCTTTGAGGTGAGGTGTTTGGAAGGACTGAGACCCTGTTGATGCCACCGGAGTGAGCAGAGGCTGTCATTCCTGAGGTGTGGCCCCATTGGTGTGCACACTCTTGGAGGAGCTTAGCTGCACAGCGGCTCTTTTGTCAATTTAGTCAGTGCGATAAGAGCGTGAGAGGAAGTTGAACCAGTTTGTGAGAACCAGTGGTGGGTATGTGTGCACGTGTGGGGGGGGAGGTGTGTAAAATGAAAGAAAGCATGAGTTCTCATCTAGTTTGATTCAACAGCATTTCCACTAGCACAGAAATACCCTAATTTTCAACCAAGTAACAAAAAAATTCTGCCTTCTGAGCTTCTACCAAAAAAGCACAACCTGGACCCATGGCTGTAACGTTAGTGAAAGGAGTTAGTGTGTCTCAACTGCTTCTCTGACTGGTGAGCTCTGCGTTCAGCACCTCAGTTGGTTCTTCAGTGTAAAGCAGTCAGAAGCATTGCAGCCTGTCTTTAGAAGTGAGGAAACCAGCAGAGATGGGTAGGGTAGCTTTCCTGAGGTCCTATAGCTAAGTGCTTGGCAGAGCCATTTCCCTAACCCAGGCTGTCTGATACCCAAAGCTCATTCACATAAATAAAACACCAATTTGTTTCTAATGATAAAACAGGTATTTTCTGATGTTTTAATGCAAAAAGGCAGAGATTCCCCCTTCTTCTCGATCTCTGCTAGTATAATGGATTGTTCAGGGAGATAGGCCTTGTGTTTGGAGGTGCTGCACGTGTCCCTGGGATACACAGTACTGCACAGAGGTCAGGGCTCTGCCCCGTAGCTAGGTACCTCAGCCATGAAAACAGCCTAAAACTGTGCTCATGCACTTTGCACGTCTTCTTTCTTGTGTGAGGAGCTCTGACTTGTGCATCCAGGACTGTTCTTTTTCACAGAACTCTAGAGAATTGCTGTTTTCTCTGCATGTTAATAATGTGTCTAATCATTGCCATGATTCCCATACCTTCATATTTTAGAAGCCAGGATTCACAAATTTAAGTTAGTTTTTTCAGTCTTTATAATTGTTGATTTGTACATTACTGTTAAAAAATAAGTGGTTTTCTTTTTTATTTAAATGCTTTTAAATTTTGGTGTCCTCTTGTGAGCTGAGTTTGAATTTCTGTCACAACTGCCCAGCTCCTTGCTGTTACATTTGAATGGGACTGTAAGATGACTTTACTGAACCATTTTGCACGTTCCGAAAAAGTCTTGCTGAGGCACTTGAGAGCTGAGGTAGTTACTCCACTTTTATGGAAGCATCAGAGCAATCTAGGTTTTTGTGTCTGTCTTGGGCTCATATTATCTACCAGTCTTTTCTGGACATCGCCGTGGACATGGGATTTTCCTAAATATAATTTTATTTGTTTTTAATAGAGGAAATGCATGCTGAAATCTGTTATGCCGAGTGTCTCCTACAGAAAGCAGCACTCACGTTTGTGCAGGTAACGAACCTTTACCTTAGAACTGGTATTGCTGGGGAGGCCTGCCAATACTCCGTAGAAAAGCTGTGGCTCTTTCTATGGCAGTGTTTCAGTTCTTTTGACTTAGAGTTGCAATGAAAGATATTTGTTATTCTGATAAACTTGGGCTGAAAAAAAGAGTCCAGGGAGCTTGATTTCCATGCAGATGTACTTAGGGTCTGTTTCAAATTTCAGTTACTGGAACCACTGCCTTTTAAAGAAACTGTCTTGCAGGTACCACAGCTAACTAACTTCAGGATGCTCCTCTGTATGAAAACTGAGCCGCTCTGTCTCCGCGCTCGCTGTCATTGGCCGAGGGCTGCATAGAGCAGCAGAGGAGGCTTCCTTGGCCATTTCCTTCTTTCACCAGATGCTTCAACAAAGCTCAGTTATGCATGCATAGGGAGCCACGCTTTTCACGTACACTTCAGATTTTATTTTTCTCCCTCCTCCTATTCTCATTCCCTTGTCTTGCTTTTAGTTCTTCCTGTGGGTGAGCATTTTTAAAAAGTCACTAAGAAACCTTGAATTCTTTTCTTATGGGGCATTTTAATCTCACCTCTAGGAGCTGTTACAACAATACCTTGCCTATTATTGTGTCTTGCAACGCTTCCAAAAAGCATGGATTTTAACATCATGGTCACAGGGGTGGTCATGATGGATACAATGGGGCAGCATGGGGTGGAGATTGTAAGGGGCAGAAATCCAATTGGAAAATCTTCCTCAATCTCAATGTTTCACATTGTTTGGAGGGATGTTTTTCTCTTTTCCTGGAGGTTGACCTCTTAGGTTGGGTTTTAGTTTAGTAAAATTGAATCAATCTGGTCCATGACCTTGTTTCCTGTAACTCAACATATTAGGAAGGCTGACTGAAAACAAGTCGTACTAAACATGTTAGTCATAGAGGCCTTCAGTTTTTTCTCATGTGTTTTCCAAACAGGGATTTGACAACCAAATCTGCGGTTTGAAGGCTTATTTTATGCTTGGGGCCTTGTAATTCAAGATCTGGGAGATATCCATGCTCTCCTCTTCCTCATTCCTCCACATCCAATGAGCTTCATGGTCATGCTTCCATTGCCTTTTGAAGATTTAGCAGCTCCATTTATTCCTCTTCTTCTGACTGTACTTGTGCTCATCGGCTCTTCTCCAGGCTGCACAGGACCCAATGAATTTTAACATCTGTCTCTAATTTCTCTTACCTCCAGCTCATTTTCCATTGTGCAAATGAACACCCTCTCAAAGGTGACAGCCTCACCTTGTCATTTCTCTGCTTCAGCATTTAGCAGCTCTCATGGACTATAGCCATGGTTCTGTATTAGAAATGGGGGAAGCTTTTTCAACTAAACTGGTATCTCCCCCCAAATTCCCTACTCCCCTCTCACCGATGTCCACAGATGGCAGGTATGTTTCATACTTGAGCAGCATGGATAGAGGTGGCTTTCTTACTCCTTAGTCATTCCCTGCTTTGCTGTAGGGCTGTGCAGCAGTGTTGAGTTACACAACACAGAGAGCCAAGCATTCCATGATCTGTAATGCTTCCTGGGCTTCCCACCTGTTTTCCTTTGCTTGTAGAATTTATACCTGCTTTGCCTTTCTTCACCAGGCCACTCCCTAATTTTTTTGATGTGTGTGTGCTTAAAGCACTGATACTCCAGGATACTTTTGTGATTCTTCATGTCCCCCTAATCCTCCGACCTTTGTGCTCTCATGGCACCCTGCTGTGCATGTGTCCACCCATATGCATTCCCCCACCCCTTCGTACACTGCATTGCTTTCCTCTAATTTGCAACCAGGTGCCAGTGTTTGGTGAACCATGAAATAAGATATTCTTATTTGAGGCATATTTTAATCTAATTTAAAAGTTCTTTCCTGGCCATTACTGCAACTGGTGCAACCATAAAATTCCTTAAAATATGAAGATAAAAATTTAAATTGCCTAGTGAATTTTTGTATTTATCGATTCTTTTAATAATTGAAATGTCAAATATTTAAGTAATTAGTGACATTTGCAAACTAAAATCAGTTTTTCTTTTGCTTACAAAGGATATTCAGGTGCACAGGAAATAAATACGAAAGCATCTTTCTGATATTAAGAGATTAGAGAAGTGTTCTTGGCAATGTGAAACGTGGGGCCATCTCCATTTGCATCATCTGTGGTATAGGGCGGGGCAAAAGTAGGCGTACAGTTACGAATACGTGAGATAGTTTATTCTTGTATTAGTATTTATGAACTGTTGTATTATTTTTCGTACAAACAACTGTAGACCTTCTTTTGCCCCACCCTGTAGTAACTTCCTTCAAGCACTTAGTGGATATACTTTGGTAAGAGACTCTTTTGGAACCCTAGAGTGCTAATGTGAAAATAGTGTTCATTCAGGCCACCTGCCTCCATGTCATGCTTGCTGACCATTAGGCAAAGAGAAGTGTTGTCATATTAGTAACAACAATTTTAGAATCCAGAGCAGTTATTTTAATCTGGGATTGTATATAAATGAAATTCACAATGTTAAATAGGCTCTGTCTGCTAAAATACCCTGGGAAAAAAAGAACCATTATCCCATTTACTGGAGTATGACTGAAAGGAACAGGAAAGTTAGGCCTTAGGAGCCTACTCTTAAAGTCACAACCATTCTAGATTTTATTGAACCTCACCAGTAGATGAGGTTCCTTATTAAAGTAGCATTGGACTAACTTATGTGGTCCCTAATTAATTGGTGAGGATTATTTTTTAATTACTTCCTTAAAGTAATTTGAGGATTTTTTTAAATGTTTACTTTTTGTTATCCTCTAACTTCAAAGAAAAATGACAAAAAAATTTTTAAATGTAAGGCAAGGATGTTTTACTTTTAAAATTATGCACTCAAAAGATTGAATCTTGTTCTAATCACACAACTTACATAGCTGTGGGGAAAGTTTTAAGGATCTCTTACTGAATGATCTAATTATTTAATTGAATTGTTTTCAGGATGAAAATATGATCAACTTCATCAAAGGTGGACTCAAAATTAGAACAAGTTACCAAATATATAAGTAAGTTAAAAGTTAAGATATGGGCTTTTTAAATCTTATAAGCGGAAGTTGGTTCCTTTTTGACCAGAGTCATGGGTTTTAAGGAATTCCTATACTATGTACCACTTCATACTTCAGAATTCTCATTAAGTATGACTAGGTTTTTTATATTTGGTGTTGGTAAAAGTGCACTTGATTTTTGGCTTACTGAGTATGTATTAAATGCTATAGGACAACAGAATTTAAGTTTAAATGTAATTTTAAAGGAAAATAGCTGAAAAATAGCTGGCTGACAGTATATGATTAGCTAAACTTAGTGTCTCTCTTCTGAAAACAATATGTAAATTTAAAATGACAGGTATGTCTTTGGTTTAGCCTCTAGAGTAGCATTGCCCAATAGAATTTTCCGCAGTGATTCAAATGTTCAATTAAGGTGGATAATGGTGTTGTTCATATCCTTTATATCCTTTCTGATTTTTATCTGGAGGTTTTATCATTTACTCACAATGTTAAAAATCTCCAACTTTGATTCTGGAGTCATTTATTTCTCCAGAATCTTTAGTTACCTCAGTATTTGCTTTATATATTTAGAACCTCTGTTTTTAGGCTTATATATATTTTATTTAATCTTTCTAGTAAACTAATGTTTTTATGATTATGAAATGTCCCTATTTAGATCCTTATAATATTCCTTATCTTGAAATCTGTGTTGTCTGATATTAATGCATCTGTTCATGCTTTTTCAGTGATTAGTGCTTGCTTGCATATATTCTTTTACTTTAAAGCTATCTTTTTATATTTAAATTGCATTTCTTGTAGTTGTACATAGTTGTGTTCTGCTTTTTTAGTTAGTATGACGCTACATTTGCACTTGTGACTACACTTTTATTTATTCTCTTTGATTCATTTGTTTCTCGTCTTGTTTTGCTTTAATAAATTAAAAACACATGCATATATATATATACATATATATATATATACTTCAGTTATAATCCCTCTATTTTCTTAGCTATAGCAATCTTTAATTTTTTGATGGTTGCTGTAGGTATTACAATAGACTTCTTCTCACTGTCAACTTAGAGTTAATGTTGTACCATTGCACATAAAATATGAGAATTTGCGAAAGTATAATTTCATTTACCACTTGTCTTCTTTACTGTTGTTATGACAATACATGTATGTATATTTAAAACCCCACAATATGGTGCCAAATATTTGCTTTAAAAAGTCTTATATTACATGTCTTCTTTATATATCCATCTCTCTACCATTTTTTGTGTTCTTCATTCATTTCTGTATACTCAGACTGAAGAATTTCAGTATTTCTAGTAGTGTGTGTCGGCCTTCAGAAACAGTCCTCTGTTTCATTTATTTGAAAATGTTATCTTTACCTTCATATTTGAAGGCTGTTTTTTTTTTTGGTCAATATAGTATTCTGAGTTACAGGGTTTTTTCTTCTTTTCATCCCTTAAAACTGTCAATCCATTGTGTTATGGTCTCTATTACTTCTGATTAGAAATCAGCTCTTATTTGTATTATTATTTCCCTGCTGGCTGCTTCGAACACCTTTTTATATCATTGGCTCTCAGCAATTTGACCATGAAGTGCTTAAGTGTGGTTTTGATAAGTTTGTGGTCATTATTTCTTCAAGTATTATTTTCTAATCCATTCTTACACTTCTCCTTCTGAGACTGCAATTACATGTTAGCCTGATTTTGTTTCATAGGTTACAGAGGTACTGCTCATTTAAAAATTTATTTTCTCCTGATTGGATATTCATTCAACATCTGGGTCATCATGGGGTTTGTTTCTATTGCCTGCTTTTTCTCTTAACTATGTGTCATGTTTTTCTTTTAGAATGTCAATTTTTTAATTGTATACTAGATATTGATACATTGTAGGAACTGTGGGTTCTGTTATCTTTCTAAGACATGTGCTGATTTTCATTCTAGGAAGCATTTAACTTGTCTAGACAGACTGCAGACCCTTACTCTCTGGTGGTGGGTAGCATCGGAAATCTTGGTTACATAGTTTTTTTTTGGTCTTGCTTCTCCTTTTCTTTGGAGTCTTCCCAGTGCTCATAGTTCATGGGTCAGCCAAGAATTTGAGTGAAATTTTAACACCGATTTTGGTGTTTCTCTCTTTGTGATTTTCCTCTACCTGGAAATTTAACTTTTAAACCATTAAGACTGTGGCATTCTGTATAAGTCCTAGGCACTGCACATTGCGTGGATAGGGGAATACTTTCAGGTGACTCGTCATATAAATAGAAAGTGTACTCATGTGATCCTTTCTTTTAAAAAGTCAACTCTTTCTCCAGCTTCTGGCTACTTTTTTTTTTTTCACTGCCCAGTGCCTGCAGATATGTTTAAAATATTTTGAATTTTTTCTAGAGTTTAATAATTCTGTAGGAGGGTTATCATTGGGAGGGTTAACCTAATATAAACCACCCTGCCATTATTGGAAGCAAATTTCCATTAGTGGAAACAGAGCCAATATTTAGTACTTTAAGAGACACTTTTAGCCAAAGTGATTTTATGACATTATATTCCATTCAGAAATCCTGGGGAGGGTTGCATTTGGGGATCCTGACATGCCATTTAGTTTTCCTCTCAAAATATTTTTAAGACATATAAAAGAATGTTGGAATTGATTGCTTCCACTCATCAAAACTTTAAAAAAAAAAACCTGAAGAAATTAAAATACTGTTATAGTGGCATAGGCACATACATCAGTGGAATGGAACATAGACTTTTGCAACAGATCCTTTGTGTGTGTGTGTGTGTGTGCACTTGTGTGTACTGCAATATACTAAATTCCTGTATATACACAGGTCTCTTTCCAAACAGTGGAGAAAGAAGAGTACTTTAATAAATGGTTTTGCGAAAACTGGTTTTTATTTTAGAAAAAAAGATTATACAAAAATGAATTAATATAAATTTAATATTAGAGTATTTATAATAAGAGTACTAATAGAACCCAAAAAAGTATTTTATAGACCTAAAGTACAAAGACTAAACTTTTGCTTTATTTGTTTTTTTTGCTTTAAAATAATTTCAGAATTTTTATAAAGAATTTTTAGATATTCACTCAGATTTATAAATGTTAACGTCTATGGAAACACAATATAACTATTAAAATCAAGAAATTAATGTTGATTCAGTATTATTAACTATTGACTTCACTTAGTTTTCTCGAACTGTCCCACTAATGTCCTTTTTCTGGTCCAGTTTCAAATCAGGATTCTGGATGTTGCCTGTAGTTGTTATGTCCCCACAGTCTCTTTTAATCTGGAAGAGTCCCATAGTCTTTCTTTGTCTTTCATGATGTTGATATTTTTTGAAGAATGCTGGGAAGTTACTTTGTCGAACATCTCTCAGTGTGGACCTATCTAATGTTTCTTCATGATTAAATTCAGGTTTTGCAACAATGGCAAGAATACCACAGAAGGGATGTTGACTCCTTCTCTGTGCATCGTATCATAAGTACATGATGTCAATTTCAGAAGCCTTCTTAAGCACAACATAAAATCACAAATCAGACATGATTGACTTGACCAAATAAACATTTCAGTTGTCAGTAGGAAAGTACACATAGTAAAAAATACAAATGGAAAAGTGATGTCGGTGACTGAGGACAGATGACAGTGTGAGATGCTCATAAGTTGGTGGGAGTTTTTCTGGAAGGAGTTTTGGCAGTGTATATCAAAATTAAGACTATGCATCACCTTTGATCTCAGAAGCCCACTTTCTAAGAATTTATCCCGAGTATAACTAGGACACTGTCACTATAGTTATAGTACTAGGTGTAGGAAAAGTACTTGATGAATGTACAGTAACACTCTGAGCAGCATGGTTTCTAATATGGAGAATTTGGAAACATATTTAATAATAGGAATTTGGTTAAACAAGTTATTTTATAGAACGGAATAATATGCCCTAAGTAAAGAATAAGGTAGCTTTCAGATTGCCGACTTCTGGTCAATATGGAGGCATAGGTCAACATGGCTTACCTCCTTGCCACAACCACAGTGAAAATTACAACTAAACTACAAAACAACTATAACTCAGAACTGTCAGAAAATGAGCTGTATGGAAGTTTAACAACCGAGGAATTACAGAAGTCCCATTCACCCAGACATGTAGGAGGGGTGGAGACGCAGAGACACAGAAAGCACAGAGATGTGGATGGACAGTCCCACACCCGCGTGTGGTGGATAAACATTGGGAGGGATGCCTCAGGAGCCAGGGATCCTAGCCTTCACCAGACCCCGCAGCCCAGGGTTCCGGTGCCAGGAAAATAAGTCCCCATAATGTCAGGCTCTAAAAACCAGTAGGGTTTGGGGTGTCAGAAGAAACTGCAGGATTCTTAGGCTTCTCCTCTTAAAGGGCCCACAGTGTACTTAGGACTTACACAGACTCAGTTCCTTTGGGCGCCAGCACTGGGACAGCAGCTGGGAGGGCACCTAGCAAATGGGGAGAAGCGGAAGTGTCTGGCATCAGGGCGAGTGTGGGGGGACAGCTTCCTCCTGGAAAGAACCCCAGAGGCCAGTCAGTGGCCACTGTTTCTTTTCTGAGCCCCCCCTGCCCCACTGGCCACCGTCCTGGAGCCACAGAGTGGCAACACTGTATCTGACAGTCTATCAACCTGGTTCACACAGGTTGCCCTACCCTGGTGATTACTTAAGACTGTGCCCCATACAACTTACCAGTGCACTTTTTTACAACAGGCCACATTACTGAGACAGGGAGCCAAAGCAGCTCTACCTAATACATAGAAACAAACACAGGGAGGCTGTCAAAATGAGGAAACAAAGAAATGTGGCCCCAACAAAAGAACAGAACAAAACTCCAGAAGAAGAACTAAAAAAAATGCAGATGAGAAATCTATCAGATGCAGAGTTCAAAACCCTGATTATTAGGATGCTCAAGGAACTCTTTGGGTACTTCAACAGCATAAAGAAGACCGAAGAAGACATGAAAGTTACACTCAGTCAATAAAGAATACTTTATAGTGAACCAACAGTGGAGTGGATGAAGCCGAGAATCAAATCAATGATTTGGAACATAAGGAAGAAAAAAACAATCAGAAAGAACAAGAAGAAAAAATAATCTAAAAAAACAGGGATAGCCTAAAGAGTCTCTGGGACAATGTCAGATGTGCCAACATCTGAATCAGGGGTGCCAAAAAAGAAGAGGAAGAGCAAGAAGTTGAAAACTTACTTGAAAAAACAATGAAAGAAAATTTCTCTAATTTGGTGAAGGAAATATACTTGCAAGTCCAGAAAGCACAGAGTCACAAACAAGTTGGATACAAAGAGGACCACTCCAAGGCACATCATAATTAAAATGCCAAAGGTTAAAGATAAAGAGAGAATCTTAAAAGCAGGAAGAGAAAAGCAGAGAGTTACCTACAAAGGAGTTCCCATAAGACTATGGGAACTAAGCTGATTTCTCAAAAGAAACTTTGCAGGCTAGAAGGACTGGCAAGAAGTATTCCAAGTGATGAAAAGCAAGGACCTACAGCCAAGATTACTCTGTCCAGCAAAGCTGTCATTTAGAATGGAAGGACTGATAAAGGGCTGCCCAGACAAGGTAAAGCTAAAGGAGTTCATCATCACTAAGCCATTATTACATGAGATATTAAAGGAACTTAGGAAAAAGACGATAAAAATTTGAACATTAAAATGGCAATAAATTCACAACTATGAACAGCTGAATCTAAAAAAAAGCCTAAGCAAATAAGCAAAACAAAAACAAAATCATAGGTTATGGAGATCACTTGGAGGATTATTGTTTGGTAGGGGGAAGGGGAGAGTGGGGGGAGGGGAAGAATGGGAGGAAAGGTGCAGGGACTAAGAAGTACAAATTGGTAGGTACAGAATAGACAGAGGGATATTAAGAATGGTATAGGAAACGGAGAAGCCAAAGAACTTACATAATGACCCGTGGACATGAACTAAGGGGCGGTTGATGGAGGGAATTTGGGGTACTGGGTGGAGAGAGGCAAAGGGAGATAAATGGGATAACTGTAATAGCATAATCAATAAAATATATTAAAGAAAGAATAAGGTAGCTTTCATATGTTTTCATGGTAACTTGTTGATACAACTTACAGAACAGCATATACTCTATGATCTCACTTGTGTCTTTTAAAGATTGCTTTCTTAAGCATAAAAACACCTAGGAGTTTATGTATTAGGCTGTTACAGTGACTGTGTCTCTGTGGGGTGGTTTTGTAGGGACACTTACGCTGTCCATTTTGTTTGAAAATTCTGTAACAATCATTTATTACAGCAAGTAGAACATAACACATTTTTTATTAAGAATAGAAAATAGCCCTGGCTTGTGTGGCTCAGTGGATTGAGTTCTGGTCTGCAAACCAAAAGGTCGCTGGTTTGATTCCCAGTCAGGGTCCCAGTGCAGGTCATGCCAGAAGGAAACCACACATTGATGTTTCTCTCTCTCTCTCCCTTTCTTCTTCCCTTTTCCTCTCTGAAAATAAATAAAATAAAATATTTAAAAAATAAAATCTTAAAAAACAACCAGAAAAGAACTTTGCCATTGTGGTGATGTTTTGACATTTGAATTATTATGGTTTTATAATAATTACATATATAAACATGTAATTTTATAATAATTACATATATAAACATATGTAATTAGGTTTTATAAGATGAAATTAAATGCTTTGTATTATTTTTAAATATTTGTTTTCACTTTATATTAGGAAGTTTTAGGTTATAAAATAGTTTTAATTCATCATGGCTTTTAAAGGCTGTATAACATTCCATTATGTGGGTGTACCACACGTGTACATATAAATGTATGGATTGATGCAACTGTATTCTTCACTAATTTGCTGGTGTTGCCTATTGAGTTTGTTTATAAAATTTCATTGTAGATAAGCAATACAGTATCTCTCTTTATAGGTAAGGTTTTGTGTGTATCCATGCTATTTCCTTAGAATAAGATTGGATTTGTTGGGTCAGAGATATGTGTGTGTTTAAGATTTCTGGTATATACTGCAAGATTATTCTGAAGAATAATTCTATTGGTAAACATTTTCTTCAAGGACCAGATAGCAGGTATTTTATACTTGTGGGGACATAAGATTTCTGTTGCAACTGCTCAGCTCTGTGACTGACGTGAGTAAGCAGCCATGGACAGTTAGGAAGTGAGCGGGTGGGGCTGTCCCAGATGTAGGCGAATGTGTCTGCTTGTTCCTGCCTTTGCAAGCCCTAGATTTTCACTTCAAAATTAAAATAATGGCTTATGATCACAAAAGTAGCATATGTATTTTAGAATGTAGGGAAGTGTAGATAAGCAAATATTAACACACACACACACACACATCACATACTCTTACCAGTGATTATAGTTGTTAACACCTTAGTATGTGTTTTTTAAGAATAATTCTTGTACAAATCTAAAGAGTCATGTATTTTTTAACCAAAAGGGGATCACACTGTACATATTCTTTTGTAACTTGCTTTTTGAATTAATAATGATCTTTACTTCTTCATGTCAGTAAATCTTCATTCATGTAATAGCTAGTTCATCTTTGTATTTGCCAGTTGTCCCCATATTTCCCTTCCTGCTGGTGTGTCTGCACAGGCTTGAACCCAAGGTGGTCTAGTGCACATCTTATGTTTGTGTGCATTAAGTAATACTTTATTTTAGAAGAGTCTCTATTTTTATGACAGCTGTGGAAAAGCCCAATCCAGTGCTCCTGCAGAACATCCACAGATTTGTTTGTGGCGTCCTTGAGCTTTCCTTTGACTGCTCCTTGTTGGATGGAGCTCAGGCTGCCATTACAAAATGCCGGAGCCTGGGCAGCTTAAACAACAGAAACTTATTGTCTCCTGGTTCTGGCGGTTGGAAGTCCACGATCAAGTTCTGGGGCAAACTGTCTTCTGGACTCGCTGACAGCCACCTTCTCTGCGTGTCCTCATGTGGCAGAGAGAGTGCCGTCTCTTTGTCTTCCTCTTCTTATAGGTCCACCTATCTTACCAGATTAAGACGCCACTTAACTTAGATTATAACCACCCTTAACCTCAGTTACCTCCTAACATCTCTGTCTCCAAATACAGTCAGACTGGACGGTTAGAGTATCAATGTACTCACGTGGTGGTGGGTCCGGGGTTTGGTGGGTAGTGTACATAATTCAGTTCATAGTCCCTTGTATTTCCTGTATACTACAAGTAAGAGCTGCAGGATTACTAGATTTAGGTTAAAAACATTTGGCTTGAATGAAGCCAAATGTAAGGTTCAGGCTTTATAATTACATCACATCAGATGATACATAATATCTGGTTATTTCTTAATACGTTAAAAAATATATTTGTTGCCATGGCTGGTGTGGCTCAGTGGGTTGAGTGCCAGCCTGTGAACTAAAAGATTGCTGGTTTGATTCCCCACAGGGGCACATGCCTGGGTTGTGGGCCAGGTCACGCAAAAGGCAACCAATCAATGTTTCTCTCACATATTGATGTTTCTTTCTCTTTCTCCCTCCCATCCCATCTCTCTAAAAATAAAAAAATAAATAAAATCTCCTAAAATAAATATCAAATTGACATATATATATATGGTATTTATATATATTTGCCAATTTGATGAGCAATTCTTGGTTATTAATTTTTATATATTTGTCGTTGTGTTTAATTTGCATTTCTGTTTTGAAGACATGAAGGGAAAGGGAGAAAGGATATTAAAGTGAGAAATCAGAAAGATTTGCTTGGATAGAACAGGGAGAATTAAGAGGGCAAACGGAGCCATTGTGGTGGAATTTGCTTTCCTCTTTCTGGCTTTCCTAGTCACAAGCTCTGATTTATTTGGTCTGCTTGAGACCATGGAGATCACACCGAAATTTGCATTTTTTGTCAGTAGCATCTCAGTTACTTGGTGGAAGTTACTAGGGGCTGAAGTGCCACTGCAGCTGAGACGGGACCACACCTAGAAGTCCCTCTGCCACATTCCTGGGAGGCTGTGCGATCGCAGTCCTGGGTCCGATGTCCTGAGTCATACTTGCTGGTGTTTGAACCCTCTCTTGCTTTAAGCCCAGCAGGATTGGTCCTGATAAACAGTGTAGAAATGGGTGTGCTATTTTTCCTTAATGATAATACCCAGAAGCCTTAAGAGTAAAACTCAGGACAACATCCGTTTAAATTTTTTCTAATGTTTTGGCTTAATGACAATTATTTTATCCTGTGTAATGTGAAATTTGACTTAATAATAGTTTTCAGAGTCATAGTAAACTTAAGCTACAACTATTTTCTTCAATCCAGGGAATGCCTTTCTCTCCTGCATATAATTCAGAAGAACAAAACTGAGCAACAATTCTTCTATGAGTTTGAAGGAGGTGTCAAGCTTGGAATAGGGGCCTTTAATTTGGTAAGTAAATAATTACATATCATCCAGCATCCTTTGCCAGAGAATCATAGGTTTTCAGTGCCTTCTGTACTGCATTTGAACCTCACCCTGAACCCCTGTCTGGGTTTGGTTGGTAAGTGGCCACTGTGGGGTGTGTCCTTTTGCTGTGAGCCAGTGGGGACTTGGTGGGTATGTGCCGGGAAGTCCTGCATGTCCTCAGAATGGTTTGGATTGTACAGCAAGGGAAGCGTACGGCACTCTGAATGGACTAGTGCCGCTTTTTGGTAATAAGGAGCTTGGAATGCAGTTTCATTTCCACACCTGAGGTCTTGTTGCCACAGCAGTGGTGGTTCTGGAATTGAAAACTGGGGAAGGAGTGATGCAACTTGGGGGATGATTCTGATGCTTGGGGGGAAATGAAGCACTTGAGTAGATATCTGTCAAATTGTGATATAGTAGAGATTTTGAAATCGTATTAAGGTTGGAATTCTTGAGAAAATAAAGTGGTGAAGGGAGCTGTGTGCACGAGAGTGTATGCCACCATGGCCACTTTGTTCGTGAGCCCTTTGGTTGGTGACAGAGGTGGCTGAGCAGAGGCACAGACTGCTGTCCACAGAATGGGTCACCCTATCTGCTGTGTATTAAAGTCCTCTGCTGAGGTTAGCCTTTAATGTGTCCCATTGAACATTCCAATGGGACACAAATATCTTCACGTTTTTTGTCCTCCCAGAGCGGTCTCTCCACATACCCCTTCCCCAGACCTCCATGTCGTCCATTTTCCCGTCATGTTCTTTGCAAATCCCTGACCGTCCAGCCACACACCATTGGTATAGCCCATGAGTTAGTATATAATCACACCTCTGGCCGTTTCTCTGCTGAGCAAAGCGGACAACCAGGCACAGTGCTCCAGGTTCTGTGCGGCCAGGGCGGATTTCCCTTTCCCACAGTTCTGCAGGGACGTTGGTCTCACGGGCTGCAGTGCTGCAGCTGTCCATTCGGGTGGTGCTGCACACATGGCCTGCAGGCACCACGGACGTGGCTTTCGGGACCAGCATGCTGAAAGAAACCTTGTTTGGAAAGGTGGTCACTGAGGAAGTGCCTTCTCATCATTTCATCATTGCACATGAAAGGGGCAAGAGTTCTTTAAACTTTTTTTTTTAGGTTATTGTTTTAGCTGGATGTAATTACTCACAAGTAATTATTACAACATGTGTTGTATGTTATGATTGAGACAAGGCTAGTGATTTAAACTTGGTTCTAATTTCTTTTATTATTGAATGATTAAAACTTTCTGTTTAGAGTTTAGCATTTATCTGCAGTTAGATTCGCAGACATGTGAGTGCATTTGTATTTTTTTCTTACAGATGCTGTCCCTTTTACCAGCACGGATTATCAGACTACTAGAATTTATAGGATTTTCTGGAAATAGGGTACAGATTTAATTTTACTTTAACTTTGGCAGCAAAGATAACACAGTACTTATTGAATATTGGAGCAATGCAGCATGTACTCATGGCTAACAGGACAGCTGTGGGCAGTTCGTTTGCAGGACAATGAAAAGCCATTGGTCTTTGATCATATTTTTCAGGAGTTAGAGATGATTTTTCTACTGAAAGTTAGAATGTTTTGTCTTTGTTACCTAAAATCTGAAATTAAAACTTGTTTTACTAATATAAGGTGGGGCAAAAGTAGGTTTACAGTTGTTTGTATGGAAAATAATACAGTAACAAATAATAATGATGCAAGAATAAGCCCCATGTTTCGCCTACTCACAACTGTGAGCCTGCTCTGGCCCACCCTGTATTGCTGCTTGGTGCACCTGTAGTCCACTTGGTGGTTTGAATTTGCTTCCTCACCACTTGTGCACCCCAGGTCTTCTCTAAAGCCAGGAAATTGGCTAGATTCCCAAGTCTAACATTTAATGACTCCCATGGATCAAGCATAGTTGCAGTATTTTGGGATTCCTTGTTTTTACAAGCTGTACTGTAAAACTAAGCAAGAAGATTTGTTTTCCATGAGTTTTGCTTATTGTATTTCAGTGTGGTTATTTTTGTAGTGTATAACATTTATTATTCTTAATACTCAATATGCTATTATCAGAGTTGCCTTATTGCAAAAGCTCCCTGTTAATTAAGAGAGCAGGTTTTAAGAAATGAGTTAGAACATGGACAAGAACCTGTCATTTTTTCCCTCCTTTACTTTACTGTCCAGGTTCTTTATAAGCTGTTGTGTATTTTTGCTGATCTCCATATGTTATGTTCTATCTGTTCAGACTCGGTATTTGATGATTATCCTTCCCATTGACCATTCATTTTCCACATGGCACTCACTATATTCTAATAAAACCGTATGTTCGTACACTGCCTTCTCCATTTGATGGAAAGGTCTTCGAAGACATAGAACCATGTTTGTTCACACCCACACAGTGCCTTCCACTTAGATCCTCAATATGCTTTAGTACATTAATGTTTATATCACAGAAATGCAACAATTCCATAAAATGAGCTCTGCTTTTTTTTCTGCCTAGAATCACATGATATAGAAGAAATTGTAAGGGTGTTTTATGCCTAGTTAGGAATTATGACTCTTCTAAGCTCTTGAGAAATAAACCCAACTTTCTGGAGGGTGGGGATAAATGAACTAGCATTTTGAAGATTTGGAATATGATTTTTCAGTCTTGCTCTTCACATTCTAAACTGCATTTAACCCTCAGGAACTGGGCCTCCTGCAGCTACGGGAAGGTGCATCAGGAAGAAGCATGCGATCTCCACTGTGCTGCCTAACTATATTATCTTTTCACACTTATATCTCCCTCATACTTGGTGAGTACTGGATTGCGTTCTGTATCATTGATGCTTGATTATCTTTTATCTGAGTCAGTAAAAATTTAGAAAAATAAGTAAGCACTAGTAATCTACATCTGTTTATTTATTTATTTATGAATAAAGATGGGAAATAGTGACATTTGTCATAGTAATATTTGTTGGGGGAAGGTTTCTTTCTTTGAATTTTTTAATTTGTTCTTAGCTAAAATAATTCTGAAAAACTTGTTTAAGGTGATCTATTTTAGCATCATCATATTAGACTTCTTTTTACATTAAATTTTGAGCTAAAATAAGTGAATATTGCTATTAAAATCAGAATTCCAATTAGGAATCTAAGACAGCCACCTTCATTCTTAAGAATTCTAGAGCTTTCCTAAATGAAAGTCACATATGAAACTTATTTTCCTAGTGTAAAAATGGCAAATGAACAATTTTCACTTTTTTCATGAATAGGGCTTTGTTGTACTTGAATGAAATTTAGAGAATTAATTATAAGTATTTACCTAATGTTTCATGAACACTGAAGCTCTTCTGTTACATTTCCAGGCACAGGAGAGGTGAACCTTGTGGAAGCGGAGAGTCTCCTCGCACCCTTCCTCCAGCAGTTTCCAAATGTACGCCTAGAACTCCAAGCATGTGTTTCAACCATAATCAATCAGCCAGGGCTGACTATTGAGCAGTCTGTTCTCTTCCTTTCTTCACAGGGCTCGCTCATGTTGTTTTACCATGCCCGAATAGAGCTGCTGAAAGGGAATGTGGAAAAGGTGATTTATCTGGGGGAGTCACTTGGGGAGTTGTTTGTATGGCGGAGTTGTGTTGCATACTCATTCAACGTCAGTAAATTAGCTACATGCACTTGACAGAAGCAAAGGAAAAAACTGTAATTAAAAAGCCAAAATTAAATGTTGTACATTTATTCTATGTAGTAGATTACTGGTTATAGTCTATATTTACACATAAAGTACATGAAACAGTTCACAGAGCATACAAAATACGGGTGGACCTTTTTAGGGATTTTTCAAAAGACTCTACTATTTTTCATTTCCATGTTAAATGTTGACTGTGGAATCTGGCCCTGCCTAAGGTACAGCCTCCCTGTACTACCTGTGTGCTCCCCTTTGAAGGAAGCCATCCACTAATTCCCTTAAGAAGTTGAAAAGCCTTTTATATAAATTTTCTTGAAAAGAATTTTCTTCTGTACAAATGGAATCAAACACGTATTTTTTAAAAAAATATATATTTTATTGATTATGCCATTACAGTTGTCCCATTGCCCACCTTCAACCCCTCAACCCTGCACACCCCTCCCACCCACATTCTCTCCCTTTAGTTCATGTCCATGTGTCATAAGTTCTTTAGCTTCTACATTTCCCATACTGCTCTTGCCCTCCCTCTGTCTATTTTCTCCCCACCCTCTATGCTACTTATTCTCTGTACCTTCTCCCCTTGCTCTTCCTCCCACTTCCCTGTTGCTAACCTTTCATGTGATCTTCATTTCTGTGACTCCACTCCTGATCTAGCTGTCCTCTTAGTTTGCTTTTGTTTTAGGTCTGGTTGTTAATAACTGTGAGTTTGCTGTCCTTTCACTGTTCATTTTTTTATCTTCTTTTTCTTAGATAAGTCCCTTTAACATTTCATATAATAAGGGCTTGGTGATGATGAACTCCTTGAACTTGACCTTATCTGAGAAGCACTTTATCTGCCCTTTCTTTCTAAATGAAAGCTTTGCTGGATAGAGCAATCTTGGATGTAGGTCTTTGGATTTCATGACTTGGAATACCTCTTTCCAGCCCCTTCTTGCCTGCAAGGTCTCTTTTGAGAAATCAGCTGACAGTCTGATGGGAACTCCTTTGTAGGTGACTGTCCCCTTATCTCTTGCTGCTTCTAGGATTCTCTCCTTCATTTTAATCTTGGCTAATGTAGTTATGATGTGCCTTGGTATCTTCCTCCTTCTTGGGTCCACCTTCTTTGGGACTCTGAGCTTCTTGGACTTCCTGGAAGTGTGTTTCCTTTGCCAGAATGGGGAAGTTCTCCTTTACTGTTTGTTCAAGTAAGTTTTCCACTTGTTGCTCTTCCTTTACCTCTTCTGGTACCCCTATAATTCAGATGTTGGAACATTTAAAGATGTCCTGGAGGTTCCTAAGCCTCTCCTCATTTTTCTGAATCCTTGCTTCTTCATTCTTTTCTAATTGGTTGTTTTTTTCTTCCTTCTGGTCCACTCAATTGATTTTATTCCCAGTTCCCTTCCCATCACTATTGGTTCCCTGTGCATTTTCCTTCATTTCCCTTACTGTAGCCTTCATTTTTTCATCTAATTTGTGACCAAAATCAACCAGTTCTGTGAAAAATCCTGATCACCAGTGTTTTGAACTGTGCATCTGATAGGTTGGCTATCTCTTGGTTGCTTAAAAGTATTGGCTCTGGGGCTTTGATCTGTTCCTCCGTTTGAGCCATAATTTTTTGGTCTGGTTGTGCCTGTTACCTAGTGAGGGGCAGAGCCTTAGGTGTTCACCAGGGCAGGGCAACCCAGTGGCTGGGTTGTGATGCTGTATGTGGGGGCGGGGTCAGAGGGAACAATGGTGCTTACTCTGCTAGTATTTCAGTCCCCTCTGCCGCTTCCCACAAGCAAATTGTGCCCTTCTAGTGCTAGTTCCTAGGTGGGTGAGCTTGTGTATGTTGTAGGACCCTGTGGGTCTCTCCAATGAACTCTCCTGTGTGGCTGGGAGTCTCTCCCTGCACCTCAGCCACCACAAGTGTTTTCAATCGGTACTTTTAGGCTTTATTTCCAGTTGCTGGGGCCCTGGGTTGCACCGTCTGTCTCACTGCTGGTTATTGCCTGGTTTATCTGTGTGCGAATGTGTGACCACGGTGAGCCATTGGCCTTCCGTGCCTCACTGGGTCTGCTCAGTTCCTCCCCTCGCCCACTGTCTGCTAGCCCCCTGCTGCTTATGTACCTGAGTCCAGCAGCCACTGCTTTTTCCTGCCGTTTCCCCTCTTTGCTGGCCACTGGCTATGCCCCTCTTACCTGTCTGGATGAATGGGTGTTGGACTTCCACACAGTTCAGTTTTCTGTATGTTCTGGTTGTGTTTTTGTTTTTAAATCTTTGTTGTCCTTAATTTTGGTTGTGTGAGGAGGCACAGTGTTTCTGCCCATGCCTCCATCTTGGTCAGTCAAACATGTATTTTTCTTTGATTTATTTATTTTTCTACTTACAATATACCTTGGGTTTCATTCCATGTTAGTGTATCTAAATCTCACTCATTCTTTTTGATGGCTGGGCCCCATTACATGGAATGGATGCACTGCACTTTTAAAAGCAGTCCACTGTTGATAGGAATTTGGTGGCCATAACTGGTGCAGTCATAAACCTGATTATGTGGTTATTTCTGTGTATAAATGTGTGTGTATATGACATTCTGAACATGAGAGTTTTTTGGTGAAAGATGTTTGCATTTTGATAAATTCTGACACTTTGCCTTCCTAACTTAAGACTTTCGCTTAAACTCTCAGAAAGATGTAAGAAAACTTGCTTCCAGTGCGCTTTGCCCACTCTGGACATTTTCTGTTTTATTTTTGCCACTGTCTTGGCTGGAAAATGATAATCTAATTTTTAAGTTTATAAATTTTTTTATATGTATATTTGTTACTTGTACATCTTTCTAATTTGCATATTCATTTTTGACAATTTTCCCATTGAGTTTATTGTCTTTTTCTAGAGGATTTGATAAAATTGTCATGTGATGAGGGTTAATTCTTTACCAGGTATGTAGATGGTAATATCTTCTTCCAGACCGTTCATTGCATTTAACTTTGTTTAAGGTATATTTTACCCTCTGAAACTTCTTACGTTTATCATCAGTCTTTTCTTACAGGACTTCTACATTTTATTTCTACATTTCATAACATTTCTATTCCCATCTCATAAAGCTTCAGAACCCCTTCGTAAAGTTAAACAAAGAGGCAGACATTAACTGTATCACTGCACGTAAAGAAAGGAACATAGCATCATAATGAGTGCTTTAATGAGCGGTGATTTTGTTCTATTTGTACAAAGTGTTTTATGTATTTTCCCATTAGGTTATTATCTCCTTGTGTTATATCTGGATGATCAGCTTTATGCAATTGACTTATAGGCACAAGAGATATTTCGAAAATGCATTTCAGTTCAAGAAGAATGGAAACAGTTTCACCATCTCTGTTATTGGGAGCTGATGTGGATTAATATATTCCAGCAAAACTGGATGAACGCGTATTACTATTCAGACCTGCTTTGCAAAGAGAGTAAATGGTCCAAGGTAAAGTACAGTGCTTTTATTAATGTCGATCTATTTGCCAATAAGTACACAGGACATATTAGGACTGTTTGTTTAATAGTATGATATGAACATGATTTTCTCAACTTTGAGATCTGTCAAAGGAAGAAATGTGCATTTAGTTCCTCTTGTTTATAACTACTGTCCTCAGCACTGCATGCTTTAAAAGCCATCCAAAGAGTCCTTTTCAATAGAGGCTGTACCTCTGAAGATTGACTGTACTTATATTTAAAAGTTATTAAATATCAATAGGTTTGATAATTTTTTGTAGACTTTCCAATGCCCTGATGACAAAGGCTTTCATAATAATTAACACTGATTCTGATCCATTTGTAAAACGTTGGGAGGAGTGAGATAATGATCTCTTGTTCATTTTGTCTGTTTTCTCACCCGTGATCACTATAGTTATATAATAGGAAAATGGTCAGAATTAAGTGAAAAGTGTTAATCTCATATGGAACAGGGAATATAAGACTTCTATTTCTGTTATTTCTTTGATGTCTCTTAAATAATACGTCTGGAAGATTTGTCGATCATTCCTGATTGCTGGGTAGAAATGTCATGTACCTAGAGATCTTCTGTAATTAGACATTTTTTTCTCTTCCTCCAGGCAACATACGTGTTCTTGAAAGCTGCAATTTTGAGTATGCTTCCGGAGGAGGATGTAGCAGCAACCAACGAGAACGTGGTAACTTTATTCAGGTAAGCAGTACACTATTTCTAGGACCAAGATCTTGAATATATAGAGGGGTACACAAGTATATCCTACTTTTTTCCTTAGTGCTCTCTCATGCTTCACCTTCATATTTCTGTATCTATGTACTTGATACAAGAATTCTCAAAAAATACGTTTAGCTAAGAGTGAAAATGTCATCCTTTTAGCAGGATTTTGCAGATATGCTGGTGTGATTGTGAATTCTGAGAACATATTATTTTTTGTTTTGTTTTGGGGGCTTTGCTATTGCATTTTGAACAGTTTCCTAAAATGGTATTGTTAGCAAAAGATGTTAACTATTGCTGTTAATCAAAGGTATTCTGTAACACATAAAGTTAAGAAATATAGTACAGCATATCGTTAGTTTTCATTAGTGTGTCAAAGATTCTGATAAGCTCTTCTGTGAAGTAATCTGTTTTGCTTTGTTTAGGCCAGTCTCCCTCCCTCCCTCCCTCCCTCCCTCCCTCCCTCCCTCCCTCCACCCATCCCTCCCCCCATCCATAACCTGTTTGTTGAGCATGTACTGTGCGAAGAGTTCTGTGTTCGGTGCTGAATAAATGGGTGTGCTTCAGTCTGTGCAGAGTTTATAGTCTTGCAGTGGAACTAGACATAGTGAAGTAATCACACAAACTATTGCAAAATTATAATACATGACAGATTTTTTTCTCTTATACTTCTCTCATCATTCCTTCTTAGTATCTTTGTAGGCCCATCCTATTTTAACCAGTGATTAAATGTTGGTGCTTTTTATTCCAAAGGTCCGAGTCTTCACATTAGGAAGTCTCATCCCAGCCAAATTTATCTGTCTAGTTTAGACCTCAAGACTGAGCTCTGAACCCCTGTACCTATCTCCCATTTGCCATCTTTACTTGGATATGTCCAAACGTTTTAAACTCATCATGCTCAGCCTTCCCTAGCAACCTAGTGTTCTTTCTCTCAGCGATTGCGACCACCAGTTAGCAAGTCAGAAACCAGTGGTGCTTGCATCATTGACACTACCCACCGTCCCCTCCCTCCTCAATAGGAGAAGCGGCATGTACAAGAGCATAAGAGGAATGGCGATTGAGAGGAGGTTGGAAGCAGAGCAGAAGCTGCAGAGGCAGTGGGGAATTGCTGTGATGCAGGTTCAGACTGAGGGAGCAGCCTGTGAGGGGACCCTGCTGCAGGGAGGAGCACCGCGCACTTAAAGCACTGATATTTGAGAGGATGTGATGCTACATTTGTCTACGTATAGGTCAAAGGAAAAGAACTTTCAAGGATTACTCAAAACATCCCACAGAACAAGAAGTTCATTTAAAAATAAGACAAGGTGTATGTTTAGTGACACAGAGATTATTGGTAACCCTAGCAGGAGCTGATAAGTAATGGAGGTGGAAATCAGATTGGAGTTGGCTAAAGAATGAGGGAGAATTGAGCATAAATATAACCCTGGACAACTTTGAGTGTAAAGGGGAGGGAGAGGGGGGAGAGAGTTGGAGGGAGATTTAATGTCAGTGTATTTTAATGGGAGAGATAAGAGCATTCTGAAAACCACTAGGAAGAATCCAGCTGAGACAGAGAAGTTGCACATGCAAGTGAGAAATGGAATAATTCATATTTGTAAGGTTTCTGAGAAGGTAAGAGCAGATAGAATCCAAAGCACTGACGTGTCAGAAGGGAGGGCGCAGAGAATATGTGCAAAGCTCATGGGTCTTTGGGTATGGAGGTCTTCCTACCTCAGAGCTTCTGTTTTTCTCTGTGATGTAGGAGGCAGCGTTTTCTGTTGAGAGTGAAAGAGAAGGGAACAGGCTGGAGGTCTGAGGAGGATGGAGAATGTTTGAAATCACTGTTACAGAGCGGGACAGTGAGGTGCTGAGAGATGAGGTGGGAATGACAGGTGGCAGTGCAAGGGCCCATTTGAAGTTGGTTCTAATGAATTCACAGTTACGATGATCTGCTGTCAGTGTGGGTGCAGGGAGGGTAGACAGTGAGCTTCATTCAGGGGTGGGTTTCCACCAGATTAGTGCAGCAGCGAGGCAGTGGACAAGGAAGTTGGGACATAGACCAGAAGGAGTAAAGTACAGGGAGATATTAGCAGCAATATGAAGGGACTGGGAGAACAAAAGGGACTGCTGGACTGGGAGAAGCTGGAAGGGGAGGCGAACTGAGGTCTTATTAGACAGCCCAGGTAGAGTGAGGAGAATGACGTTCACAGAGTGTGGCACGCTGGAATTCATGCTTTGAGGGAGAAAAGTCCTCAGGTGATGAAGTGGTGTACAGTAAGACCATAAGGGTAGGTAGCTGTGGCAGTAAGCAGATGACCACTGGGGATGAGAGAGTTAAGGAGTGGAGAAACCCACTGCATTCTTAAAATCTATGACAAAACTATTTAAATAGGCTGTAATTTTCTGTGACTGCATTATGAGAAATAAGATCTTCGGTTGAACCCTCAGAATTATCAGAACAAATTTGAAGGTATGACCAGAACCATTTTTTCATCTCCTTTCTAAAAGCTCTTTGTGAAAACAGGACCACGTTGACTAACTCTAGCGTCAACATCAGTAGAAGCCATGGTATGATAAATGCTACCTCTTACCGGTCAAATGTACTTTCTCATTTCACATGGACAAATAATGTGATGGAAATGGGATATTAAGATACATTGAAACTTTTACATCCCCTCTGTTTCCTCCACTTCAGAATACATTATTTTTTTTCTCTGTATCAAACAACTTCTGTGAAACATGTAAGCCATCTTATTTTCAGGAGGAAGTCTGAAGTCTGCTGTGGGATAGCATCTAATTTGTTGGGACAGTGACAGGAGGGTCCCCAAATGAACCCTTTCTTCATACTCACTCTGTTTTCATTAAACCAAGAGGTTTAGTGTCCAGTTGCATGCTTCTGACCCCTTCCTTCTCCCAACCTTACATTCCCATTGCTTCTTCCACTGAGGTTAATGGACATCAAATTGTGGGCATTCTAGTTAAAATTCATATCCCCCAATTGTGCCCCAAAATTACTTAGCACAATCATGTTCTCATATTTTTGGAGTACTTTTTCTCTTGTTTCATCTTTTTGTTTTCATGAGTTCTTTCTCAGCCCTGTGTTTGATGCACTTACAAATTTATGTGTTACAAGCAGGCGCTGTGGGAACTGCCATCTCCCCGTCCTCCTCTCACGTTTGTGTGCTTCTGTGCTTCGGCACTGTAGTTCCTTAGAATCATGAGAGGAGGTTTGTAAACATGGTGTCTGTCCGAAGCTGGTCATTTTCAAAGTCACCTATGCTTAGGAAACATTTTCTTAAATTACGTGTTAGTCGACAGTTATCCTTTGAGCCATGTTTATTTTATCGATCAGTATCATGCTTGCAGATGGGAATAGAAAATATACCAGTATACTGTCTTACCTCTCTCTGAGTATTCAACATAAGTAAATACTTTGGAGGCTTTCCTGCTTACTTAAGGAAATTGCCAGTTTTATATCTAGATTTCCTGTTCTGTGTTTGATAGGTCAAGACATTGGCTAAGTTAAATGGAAGGAAATATGTGGCAGTCAGTAGTGTTCAAACTTGAGCATGCGTCAGAGTCACCCGCAGACTCCTGAAAATCCAGATTGCTGGGCCCAGCCCCAGGAGTTGCTGATTCGTCAGGTTTGGGGGAGCCTGAAAATTTGCATTCGGAACAGGTTTGCAGGTGCTGCTGATGCTGCCGGTTTGGGGAACACAGTGTGAGCACCACAGGGGTAGCCAGTGTCTGGGTTCTAACGGCCTTTCACTGGGGCTGGGGCTCTTCACAGACAGGTGGACAGCTTGAAGCAGAGAATCGCCGGGAAATCTATTCCTACTGAGAAGTTTGCTGTGAGGAAGGCTCGACGATACTCCGCCTCGTTGCCTGCACCTGTGAAGCTTGTCTTGCCTGCCCTGGTATCTACTCTTATTTATTTACTGTTTGTGTTGTAGAAGTAGATTGTCTATTCTTAGCAGCAGGGAAGATTCAAACTTTTGTTTGAAGCTTAGCTGCATTAAAAACCATTGTAAGTGTGTCTGTAAGGTGAACATTCATAAATAACAATTAAATAAATATTACAGCTAATGTTTTTGATTAGTTGGTATGTTCTACATACTATGATAAAGACTATTTAAAAATATATTATTTAATTGTTACAGTAACTCATTCTATGAGGGTAATTTCTCTGTGTAGCCGCATTTTATAAATAAGGAAATTCAGGCAGAATGAGGTGAGTTGACTTAGTTGAAATTGAGTTGAATTATAGTGCAAGCCACATATGTAATTTCATCTTTCCTAAGAGGCCATGTTAAAAATGAAAAGGTGAAAAACTAAACAGGAACAGGGAACATGAAAATGATTGCAGAGTGTTTAGTTTAACCCAGTATATACAGAATGTTGTCATTTGGACATGTAATCAACAAAAATTTAGTGAGTGTTTTGCATTCTTTTATATTGCGCTAATTCTTTGAAATGTGGTGTGTGTTTTACTCTTGGAGCCCATCTCAGTTCGGACGGACCACAGTTCCGGGGCTCGAGAGCCCCGAGTGGCTGGCGGCTGCTGCACCTGGCAGCGCCCGGCCCACTCTCCTTTTCTTAGTGTTAGACTCTGTAGGCTAGACTTCATAAAAACCGTAATTGCAACTTAGATTTTTCTGATGAAGACTTCTTGAAAAATTACTGAATGTATCAAATTACTGTGGCTTTGGGGGGCTTTGGGTTTGCACGGGTAGTCCGAGAGCACAAGAAAGCTCTTATTGCCTGCTTGGCCTCTGTGGTCCTCTCCTGGGCTTCCTTGATTTTTAAAAATTTATATTTTTTTGTATTTCAGAGTTTATTCAGTTATTCCCCTTTGAAAGCTATTCAGCTTTTTGTGTGTTTTTACTATTACAAACACACTACAGTGTCTATTCTTCTGCATTCTTCTTTTTGTATATGGACATTTAATTCTCTGAGAAGGCTTTCTAGAATTGGAATTCCTGGTTGTAGGGTATACGCATTTAGTACTTTGACGCTGCCAAATTGCCCTTCAAAAAGGCTGAAGCAGTTTAAATTTCTACCAACACTGTTTTAATTTGCATTTCCCTATTGGTGCCATTAAACATCTTTTTATGTGCTTATTCATTTTTCTTCTTTTGTGAGTTGTTCATATACATCCCTGATTTTTCATTGAGCTGTTTATTGTTTGATCATTGAGTGAGAGGGGCTATTTATATGTGCCGTGAGAAAGAAAACTGCAGCCCTTCCCAGGAGACAGGATCCGGCCGGCATCTCGCACCTAGGCCCAGGTGCTCCCTGCGTCAGATAAGCAACCTCGGGGCAAGACACCACCAGGGTATAGGATATTCTGTCCTGTGGTCGGCCAAACACAACCACTCTGTAATCGTATCTGAGCACAGAGAAAAAGAAGAAAATCACCAACAGGACCAAATATCCCTCTTTCCCAGCTAATGTGGGAGCCCACTGCCATTTTACCAATTAGAGCTTTTAGTTCCATTCCTGATTCGTTTCTGTCACTGATTTGTGCTTGGAAACCTTTGTTTTCTGCGCCACAGAACTTCCCTGAAGATTCTCTAGAGCACCACAGTCTTCTCTCTGCCTTAGAACTTAGAGCCAGTTCTATCCTGCTTTGATTATTAAGGGTCTAAAGGAAGGTTAACCCACTGCACTTACTTCTCTACATGTAAAGGTGTACAATGGGCTTGAATTGTGGTAACTAGGAATTTTACCAAAATTGTATTTTTCATAAAATCTCAGATGTTTACTTGCCTTCTTCTGATAAAATAGTTCATCAATAAAAATGAAATTTAGAGGTCATTGTTAATTAACAAATATTCCATTAGTTATGAATTGAGTCTTATGTTGTTAGCAACAAGAAACTGTTAGATGTGAAATAAAGAGGAGAGTGTGGTCATTGTAGTGGCCCTCAGCTTCCCAAAGTAAAGATGACTTGGTTGTCACTCTACTCAAATGCACTATTCTCATTTCCGCTGCTTCCTTGTAAGAGGTTGTTCAAATAATATCTTTATTATATTTTAAAATGTATTTATTTCCAAGAAGGTACTAATTACCCTGCTTTATTTCATGCCTTTAAAATATGAACTACACTACCAGGAAGATTAGAAAAATATTTTCAAGCAGAAACACATTTACTTTTGGTCCAAAAAAAATTTCATCTGTTAGCCTATTAAATGTAATTTGCAATGATAAATCATTAGTCTGCATTTTCAGGGGCTGTCATTCAGCCATATGGCCTTTGAATGAATACATTTTCTGCATATTGGATTGTGTTACTGGACTGCCACATATTTTAATGGTATAAAAGAACCTGAGCCCAGTAAAATATTTCCTATGTTCATTTCCAGTGATGTCCTTGGAAACAATTTATGTAAATAATTGGCAGATATTTTAAAATGTTTTCCCTTTACTTAAAACATAACAAGAATTTATATTAAATAGACTTGTTCATGGTATGAATATAAATATATATTTATTTCTGTATCTGTAATCGATTATCTTCTAAGGATTGATTGACTACCAGCAGGTGCTTAAAAAATATTTGTTGAGTGAATAAGCTAATTTTTCAATAAAAATGTATAGTATAATATTGAATTAATTCACAGTATAAAAGGCATATAGTAAAATGAGCAAGGAGGAAATTATATCACTAAACTCTAAATGAGATCCCTAGTAATTGAGGCAAATACACATTCGTAGTTTGGTTGTCATAAAGGACATTGAATAACTTCACACAGTTGCAAATGGCTTTTCATTCTTGTTCATTAGGAAATGATGTATGCTTGGAATGGTTTTCCAATAGTGAGCAAAAGAGAAGACCTTTCTGAAAATCTGTTGTTAACTATTGAAAAGGCTGAGGCAACTTTACAAAATGAAAGTAAGTATGAAAAGTAAAAGCCTGGAAATCTTTACCACTGTCACCCTCCCATTCTGTCCCTGTGCACGTCTACCTGTGTTACTCTGTGCGTACCCCGGGGACAGAGAGCCCAGACTGCAGGTGTCGGGGTGAGTGCGATCAAGAGGAAGGGAGGAGTGACCCACGCTGCAAACACGGTGAACCTTGGGGACGTTAGGCTGAGTGAAAGAAGCCAGTTGCAGAAGACTACATGATATATGATTCTATTTATATGAAATATAGACAATAGGCAAATCTGTAAAGACAGAAAGTAGATTAGTGGTTGCCGGGGGTGGGGAAACAGTGATGAGGGTGATGAAAATGTTCTAAGATTGATTGTGATGATGGTGGTACAACTCTGATATACTCAATGAGTTGTATGCTTTATATGGTGCAATTGTATGGTATGAGAATTATGTTTAATAAATCTGTTACCAAAGAAAGATGAAGGGGAGAAGGCAGTAAAGGTTTAGAGCCGCACAAGGAGAGTGTGCATTTGATTTTAGTTTGTGCATCTTTGCGTGCCGCCTTTTGATCTCAGATGGCTGTCATGTTTTTGCAGACATAGAGAGTTGTGTTCAGGTTGAAATCTTATCATAATTTATTTTTTTCATTCATTACTTTTGGTTGTACCATGAGGCCCGTCTCCAGCTGACTTGGAGGCTCCTTTCCTGGAAGCAGCTGGCCTGTTAGTGGAAGGCAGGTCCGGAGATCTGGGATTAAAGCCCTAGCCCTGTCACTGTGTGCCTCTGGGAAATGCACCCCCTCACTCTGAGCCTCAGGTCTCTTTTACAGTGGGACTGGTGTCGGGCCAGATAATACCCAAGTTCTCTTGCTCTGACATTTGTAATTCTCTATCTTAAACATAGGCTTTCTTTTTTGATAAGCCATGCTGTACATGCTAACCTCCAAATCATTTAGGTAACGTGCCAAGATGGATGGTCTTATCGTCTGAACTGTTCAGAACACAGAAGTAAAATGAAAACTGTGGTGATAAACATGGTAAAGGACATAAAAATTCAGGAAGAGTCCGGGGAAATTATAAAGTTAACTCATTTTTCTTAACTAGACAATGATGGGCCATGAGGGGGCACTGGCTGCACGCACAATACCCTGTCTCCGTGGGGACACATTAGTGACTGTGGCCCCAGTGGTGAGGGCCCATTTGGGTCTCTTTTGTAGCTGAAGCTGCAGTAGGAGGCTGAAACGCTTAATGAGGTTTCTTGTTGCAATTTTTTTCTAAAGATTGTATCCATTATCTTTTTTTAGAGAGAGGGGAAGGGAAGGAGAAAGAGAGGGAGAAAAACATCCATGTGTGGTTGCCTCTCATGCACCCCACACTGGGTACTTCGCCTGCAACCCAGGCATGTGCCCCAGCCAGGAATCGAACTGGAACTACCCCTTTCCCCCACTCCCAGCCAGCATTCAATCCACTGAGCCACACCAGCCTGGGCTCTCTTTGCAATTTTTAAAAATTAAACACATAATTACAATTGATAGAAGTGAAAAAAGTCATCCATGTTTTTGCTACAACACAATTAATTTACAATTTTGTGTATTCCACCATAGTCTTATTTTTGTAGTTATAATCGTAATGTACATGGACATATATTAGTCTAGTTTTTTCCATTTAATACATCATAAACTTTTTTTAAAATTGAGGTATGATTGACATAGTAGTTTTAGGTGTACACCATAATAATTCAATATATTTAGTCATTGTGAGATGATCATCACAGTAAGTCTAGTTAATATCTGTCACCATAGTTACAAAAATTTTTTTTCTTTTGATGAGAACTTTTAAGATCTCCTCTTTTAGCAACTTTCAAATGTGCAATACAGTCTTAATAATTATAGTCACCATGCTGTACATCGTATCCCCATGAGCTACTATTTTAAATACATTTTTTAAAAGATTTTTAAAATGTACTTTTAGAGAGAGGGGAAGGGAGGGAGAAAAAGAGGAAGAGGAACATCAGTGTGAGAGGAAAACATTGATCAGTTGCCTCTTGCATGTGCCCTGACCTGGGACTGAACCTGCAACCCAGGCATGTGCCATGAGTGGGAATCAAACTTTTGCCTTTCTACTTTGCGGGAGATGATGTCCAACTGAGTCACCCCAGTCAGGCATGACATATTTATTTTATAACTGGAAGTTTGTATCTTTTCCTCTCCTTCATCCCTACCCCCGAGAACCACTATTTTAGTTTTTGTTACTGTGAATTTGACTACTCTAGAGTCTTTGTATAAGTGGCTTATTTCACTTAGCATGATGTCCTCAAGGCACCTCCATGTTGTACCATGTCAGAATTTCCTTCTTTTTAAATGCTTCCATTAATGTATATACCACATTTTGTTTATCCATTTGCCCATCGATACACATTTGGGTTCCTTCCACCTTTTGGCTGTTGTGAATAGAGCTTATATAAATACCAGTATGCATGTATTTTTTGAGATCCTGCTTTCAATCCTTTTAGCTATATGCCCAGAAGTGGAATTTCTGGGCCATATGACATTTCTATTTTTAATTTTTTGAGGAACTACCATACCGTTTTCTATAGCACCTACACCATTGTACGTTCCCACCAACAGTGCACAAGTGACCCAATTTCTCTACGTCTTTGCTGACACTTGTTATTTTCTGCTTTGTTTTTGTTTTTGTAGTAGTCATCTTAATGGGTGTGGGGTGACTTTTACTATTTTTCATGTGAAATAATTTCAAGAAGAAAAACTACTTTGTTTTGAGTGAAAAATAAACCAAAGTCACATAATTTTTAATTTAAATGAAAGTTTACCTTAAAAATGAGATTTCACAAAGTGCACTTCTGTAAAATCCATTTGGGCTTTTGAGCAAATGTATTAGTATTCATTTTTGTGCAACTAATTTGACCACCATCTATTAATTTCCTCATTTGAATAATCTTAGATTTCTCTGATGTAGATTTCTAGATGTAGAATTATGATAGGCAGAAAAAGCATTTGTTTATGCTATTAAGGAAATTATTTATGATTAATTTCCACATATCCACAAACTAAATGGAAAAATAAGTATTTTTAAGTAAGTGGCTATATGAAAACTGGAAAGTAAAGGAAAATCCCTTTTTATTAAGTGGAAATATTTGTAGTATATTCTTTCTCCAGAAAAGTAGGCCAGCTTGCTTCTTTCTTTCTACAAAGAAAAGGCTTTGGGTTTGGTGGAATACATTCTGATGTCCGAATGTTCATCCTTTTAGTGTAGACTAATCTACCACCAGAGTGGGGCCTTCATATATTAAAAAGCCCTGAGGGCCCGTTGGGTTTTCTCCCTTTCAAGGGCCCCTTTGAGTGGGCCCTTGTCCCCCCACCCCTGAGTTTATTTTGTCCCTCTATTGGTTGGGGGTAGAATTCAGGGGTAATGTAGGTATCAGAAGATGCAGGTAAAATGCAGTAGAGGTTTAGAAAACCAAGACACTGTCTCCACCCATTCCTTCCTCTTTTAATGGCGTCCTGAGAAGATGGGCTTAGAGAGATATTTAAGCAGGGCCGGGAGGAGCTGAGATAGACACGCCACGCTTCATAAGATTCTGTCTTTGTATGTCTTCTCCTGGGTAAAAAAAAAAGCTGGTTTCCGTTCTGGAGAACCCCTTTGCCAGATGTTGCCCATGAAATCTAAGATGATTTCTTCCAGGTCCATTGTTTTATGCCGGAAAATTACCCAACACCCAAATCTCTCCCTGCCCCAATTTTTATGAACTTTGAGTAATTAGGTTTCTTTCCTTCAGAATGAGGGGAAAAAAATACAAACTTGGAAAATGGAATTAAGTTGTAAACCTGAAGTTACCCTCTCTTCCTTACTACCTCATTATTAGTAATTGAATGTATTTTCGCTTCTACCTTTGACAAGTGTTTTTAAAGTAAACGATGGGAACGTGTACAATCGCCGTCCTATTCTGATAAGGCCATAGTTCTGAGAGGCTGTGTGGACACCACGGAGAAATGTTGCTTGAGGAGAGGAAAATACTTGGTGTAACATGACTGGAGTCAGTGTTTGCTGTTACAGCCACTAGCATTTCCTCTGAAATCTAACTAAATTCCAACATGCTGTTAGGAGTTAGTACGGTGGCTCTTTTTGACTCTTTGTTCTGCTTAATGTGCTTGGTGAAATTGTACGGGAGGTGAAATTGTGTGGCAGAACATGAGAGTTACCGGAGAGGGAGAGTGCTGTTCATTTCATGGCTTTTCACTTTCCAAACCTATTTTCAATATTTTTCTTTGGTGTATTCAACTAGCTTCTACAATGTTCAGTGTAGATATTTTTGTAGTGTGGGCTTCAAATTTCTTTTCCTTCCACCTACCCTCTGTTTTATTATTAAGTGCAGAGCTTTTGTGATGAAAATGTGCTTTCTTGGAATGTAAAATGGAAACTTAAAATGTTCATCTGTGAAGTCACCTATGAGCAGGAGAATCATGATGAACATAACATTTTAAGGGAAAATAATAATCACAAATAGTGCTCAGTAGTCTGAAGGATTAATGGTTTTGTTTTCTAAGGTTTTTGAAGGAATATTGGTGTTTTGGGACCTATTTTCCACGTTCTTAACTCATGATCTAAGTAAAAGCTAAATGCGGCTTTACTGGTACCGGAGCTCTGCGTGGTGTTATGTCTGCCCTTCTCAGCAAAATCACTGTTCACTGAGCGCCAGAGTTTTGTGGTAACAGAGGCTATCCGAAAGTCCTACACAGAACTCGATAAAATGCACAAGATGATACTGAAAACTAGCATCTAGCATGGACCCTAAGAATTTAGTTCTAGGCTTGAAAGATGCCTAGAATGCATATTTCTTCTTAAATGTGTATTTCAGTGAGCACCCATGATTAGAAGCATAAATAGATTTTCTTCTTTTGGTAGAAATAATGGTCCTTAAGTAATAGGAAAGGAAATGTGGTATTGATACCTGTGATTTTCTCGGCGAATGACTTATTAGAGCTTGGAAGCGAGAGGTGACTATCAGCTGTTTTTGGCACCTGGGGAAAAAACGACCCTCTTCTAGTTGCTTACGTAACACCGGTAACCTCCCGTGTCAAGCACACTAAAGCACCAGCAAGTGCCAGTGGTGCTCTCTGAGATTTGTCCTGAAAGCAGCAGGGCTTCAGTATGAGGGACTCCCAGGGCCTCATTAGTTTGGTTTGCAGGCCCTCCTCTCCCCCCAACCACCCCCCCTCATGTTGTCACAGCCTGGAGTGTATAAATTACTAGTCTGTCTGGGAACGACTTCTTAGTTGCACCAAACTTACAAAAACCCCTAATTCAAAAGTGGTTGATGTGAAATGGCTACCTTTGTCACATAGATGTCACACATACTATGGCTCCTTCTGTTTCATATGCCACAGCCTTGGGCTGTAGGAGGCACTCATTTTCCCCAGGGAAAATGGTGAAAGGAAAACCTTTCCATTAGCCCCAAGCAGTTAGAAGTGTGCGGGGACCTGAGGTACCTGCATGTACTTCAGAACCATTTTATCTAATTTTATGATATAATTTCCTCCCAAAAGAACACAGCCTGGGAGAATTGATAAGTTATAAACATAACGATCTGGAGAGGGCATTCTGCTTCCTGAATTTTTAATGGGTAGAGGCCATCTGCTTCTCCATATGGAAGTGCTATCCTCATCCGCATGAAGCCAACACAGTTAGAAGCCAGAACCATGGGAGGAGGCAGCCTTCTTGCTCCTCGTGGCTTTACTTTTATAGAATTAATAAAGCTCTTACTTTATTTAAAGTTCAGATACTCTGCTGTTTTTCTAAGGCCACATAACTCAGAATATGAGCCCCTGAAAAAAAAGGTTGAAGAGAACAAAGTGAACCCTTAATAAAATAGTGTACTAAACTGACGTAGTAAATTCAATATTCAATTAATTTAATTGTATTTCATGAAGTGAGGCGTAGGGAATGCTAAAAATCTTTTCCTTATTTTTAAATGAACCCTCTGAAACATAACAGCTATTATCAGTTCTTGCTTCTTAATGAGGGTTTTAAAAAACTGTTTCTGTTTTTGTGTGTGATTTTTGTTTGTTTTGCTGGAAGACCTCAGCGATTACGCGGTGGATGACGAGTGCTTGGTGAAGCTGCTGAAAGGATGCTGCCTGAGGAATTTACAGCGGCCCTTGCAAGCGGAGTTGTGTTTCAGTCACATTATCCAGAGGTAAAAGCAAGCAGGGACACCAGCCTGAGTGCAGACGGTGGCGTCCGGGGGATTACCGTGAGAAAGTGGTTTCTCTTGCTGCTACCCTTTTGCTTGGTGTTACCAGAAACAGAATCCAGTTGTGTCTTCTCTGTTCTTTGAGAACAAAATTATAATCTAAGGGAAGCGTGGCTTTGTGCATTTCCACTTGATGTTTAAAGCTGACGCACAAAACTAGATTTATGGCCAAGCTAACAGGTATCTAACCACATTCAGGCAGCAACGTGCTGTTTGATGTTTTTTGCCCTCTGCATTTGTTTTGCCCTTTGATGTTTTTTGACTCCTGCATTTGTTTTTTCATTTATGTAGTCCACAGATATTTGAGCACTCACTGTGTGCTACAGTCTGTACTGTATCCTAGGAATTCAGAGTTGGGCACACGGACTTGCTTTCATTGCGGTAATAATTTGGCAGGGAAGAGAGACATGGGGTGAACACCATAACTGCTTCTCATTTGGCAAAAGGCTTCTGTCCTGTAAATACATGAGGGTTTCTTTTACCCCCTCTAACTGCATTGACGGTCTCCTTTTCCTTTGCTAAACAGAGAGTTGGGTCAAGGTTCTGATACCTGGCTTTCTTCTCTATATCTGGAGTCATAAATGCAAACATCTGTAGGGGCCAGACAAGGCGCCTCACCAGGTGCTGGCAGGAGTAAGGGATTGGTGGGCACTGTAGATTCAGGAGATCGTGTGTTCTCTGTAACGGAGGCAGCCACTTCTTAGCTCTAATTGCTTACTGCTGTGTACAATGTGGGCCGAGTAGCAATAATCTCTACAATTTTTCATGAAAAGCCTGGACCCTGGATTTTATGTAAAATCTTCTGATTTTTAAATATTGGTTCACATTTTGTTAAAGCATTGCCAGCTGACTAGATCACGGCCCCAGAATGCCAGTCGGCAGCCGTTCCACATCATGCGCTTTTCCACCCATGACGACACATTGAGACTGTAGGAGGACTGGTGTTCTTATATGAGGAGGAATAAGACCATCTCTATTTCCCACACAAGTAGTACACTCACTAGTTTTAGTAAACATGTGAAGGATGTATCCACTGAGTTCTGTTTTATTGGTGTTTTGACAGGGATCAAAAGGATTATTAAAGGAATTACCATTTTGTGCTGTTTTTTTAGCAATAGTGAATTGTTTGCTTTTGTGTTTTACAATTTTGGATTTTGAGTTTTTCTTCATTGGCATTTTATCTTGAGACTCCTAGAGACTAGGAATGAGGAAGAGTCTCACTAAAGTCACTTTGCTTTTCTTCCTGCCTGGTGACCCAAATACTTTGCAGCCCAGAACCACATTCATGTTTGTCTTATTGCTTAGAGGCTCTTGGATCATCTGAGCAATATAAATTTAAATTGCAAATCCATGTGAGGACAGGCCTATTGGTTATTAATTTAGTGAAAGGAATGTGTTTTCACTTTTCACCAAGAGCACAGCCCAAGGAGCCAATGGCCCATGTTTTTGTCCTGTGCCAGAGATGGGTTTTTCCAGTCTGCCCTTTCTCTGAGGCAGCAGCCTTTCAAGGGCCCCAACTCACACGCAGGTCTCAGTCCTGACCTCTTGTCCTGTGTGGCCCCAAGGCCTCACCTCCGTCATGGCCACTGAAACTCAAACCCCTGGGCTATTCAGACTGAAGTGGGCCCCAGGACTGCCTGGGCATCAGCCACCACTCAGAGTTCTGGTTTGGTTTTGTTTTCAGTTCGAGAGTTTTTCGTATGTTCATGTGAGCTGAGCTGTGTGTTTGAAAGCACGTTGTTCATACTTTTTAGTGCTTCTAGATGTTTTGTCGTCAGAGGGTTTTTATATTATTGCTGAAAACAAACTATTGACTACTTCTTACTGACATTGTTTTTAGCATTATAAGACTTAACAATACAAATTGAAGTGAACCTTAGCAAAACAGTAATATTGCATTCAGCATTCTTATTTTTAAATGGAACACATTTATGTTCAGGAGGATCATCTTGTCCTTCTCAGGATTAATCTTTGCAGATCTGCGTGTATTCATGTACTTAAGGGGCAATAAACAATCCTCAGTGCTGGTCCAGTATACATCAAGGAATAAAATAAGAGATTGATATACTAAAAGCAATGCTATTTATTGCCATAGTGTATGAGGGCCTTTGAATAAACTTTGTAAAACAGCTGTTTTTCTCTGATAATAGTGCTGCTAAGCACCTGTTTTATGAGGAATGGGGAAATATGTTGAAAAAGAATGGTTCCTTTCTTGTTCTGTTAAGACTTGTTTTTCTTTAATTTTCCTGGTGATCCTTTTATGACTTAATCACTTTTCATTCATTGTTTTAGTGAACGGCTACTGAAGTTCGACCACTACCTCGTGCCATTTACTCTGTTTGAGTTGGCGTGTTTGTACAAAAGCCAAGGGGAGATGGACAAGGCCCTAAAGGCTCTGGAAACCGCGAGGTGAGTGGCGAGGACGGCTTTCCCTCCTTCGCCGTGGAGGCAGGAAGGTCAGCGGCGTTGTAACAGCAGTGACAATGTGTAGACACCTGAAAGTTAAACCGTGAATGAACGTTAGTAACAAAGTTACCTTTGCTGACTTATGCTTAGTGCATGCCCATGCCTTCTGCTATGACTGTGCTGTTTCCAGCCTTCTGAATGCCTGAGCCTGTGTCTCTTTACAGACATTGTGACTGTGGGCTTTTGTATGGCAGATACCTAACCTAGTCTATTCTAGTTCAAGGTTGGTGAACATTCTCTGTAAAGGGCCAGATAGTAAGCATGTTTGGCTTTACAGTGTAAGGTCTCCATTGCAACTACTCCACTGTATCAAAAGCAGCCATAGAAGACCAATCAATCATCCATCCATCAGTCAATGGGTGTCTCCAGATTTTGCCATAATTGTGATAATAATTTGCTGACTTTTGGTGTATTCAACCATATTTCTCCTTTCCTTGAAGACCCACTGAATTGAAGAAGCCCTCTGAATCTTCCTGGGACTCTCTGTGCTTTTTTTCCGCTGTGGCAAAACTGCAAAGTACTCCATCATTTCTGCTAGACAGTGGCTCACAGACTTGTGGTCATGGCCCCCTTGGCGGGGCCCAGATTCGGTGGTCTGTTCACCTTGAACACTTCTTGCAGTGGATAAAGAACACCATTTTTAGCTCTAGGCTATAAGTCACTTTGTGGTTCATTGGTTTGTTCATTTATTCAAGTTCAGCAAGTATTCACTGAGCACCTCTAGTGTGCCAGGCCCTAGTAAAGGCTCTGGACAGACAGCTTCATACAAACAGGCAATGTTCCTGCTCTCCTAGTTGGAGGGAGCTGTCAAAGAAGCAAGGAAAAAACCATAGCAGTGGAATGTGCTTTGCTGAGATTTACACTCTGATACCAGCTGCCTGGCTGTTGTTTTAGATGGGGTTGATTCCAGAAGGTTTCCTTGAGGAAGTGAGATTGTAGTTGATTATTTGCATAATTAAAGCCAGTCCTGAGATCAGTCAGCAGGAGACTGCCTGGGGAATGTTCCCTGCTGAAGCCACAGTTAAGTAACCTCTAGACTAGGGGGTTGAGCCACTAGATCGGCAATAATGCTTTTCACTGAGGTGGGGAATACTTAGAGGAGCAGGTTTGGGGATGGAGAAAAGCAAACTTCTGTTTGAACCGTGCTATTTTGAGACACCTACTGGTACCCACATGGAGACAGTGAGTTGACGGTCAACTGTGGAAGCATGGATTTCATTGGAAAGGTAAAGGACAAGTGTGCAGATTTTGAAGTCACCAGCGCAGACACAGTGATATTTGAAGCCGTGATACTTGATGAGGTTGTTTTGGGAAACTTACTAAAGAGAGAGAAAGAGAGAAGTCCAACATAGAACCTTGGGACATGTTGTCATTTTAATGAGAATGTACAGTGAGAGTAGAAGAAATAGCCACTGAGTCAGAACGACATCCAGGAAAGCCAAGTGAACGAGGTGTTTCAAAAAGAGGAGAGTCGTCAGTTGTAAAGGTAGCTGCTGAGAGGTCAAGCAAGGTGAGACTAAAGAAGTGAACTTGTGCACATGAAGATCATTGGTGACTTTGACAGGGAAGGTGAGAAAGCCAAGCCAGCTATTGGGGGAACCTTTCAGGATGTTTCGTTGTGAATAAAACGCAGGAAGGGGGCAGAAGATTCAGCGGCATGGTGGAGCCAAGAAAGTCACCTTCTTTTTTTTTTTTTTTACCTTCTCCTTCTCCTTTTTGCCCCCCTACCTTCTCTTCTGCTTCTTCTACTTCTTGTCCTCCTCCTCCTCCCCCTTCTTGTTAATGGGAGATATGAGAACAAATCATTTTTAAAGCTAATTTGTTGAGAGTGATAATGACTCAGATTTCAGCTGACGTGTGTGTCATCAAATGTAGCTGATGGAAAATTAGGAACTCTAAATACTGTTGTTCCAAGTATTTGTTACTTGGTCATATTTAGTGTTACTTAGGCAATGTACAGTAAGGCAAATTTATAGTGATGAAAATAAAAGACTAGTCTAAATTCACTACTAAGAAACAAGACCAGCGGTGATCAAAAGTCACCACTAACTCAAGCCAGTGCTGATGGTGCATAAGCAGACTTCCCAGTAGTTTTAAGACTGTCAGCGGTATGCAGTTTCCCTTTTCAAAGTTGCCAAAATTAGTGGCCAGACATTTCGGAAAACACTCAGTTGCATCCTTTGGTGAACTCTAGTAAGATGTTGATTTAGCTCATGAGTAATAACCCTTATGATGAATACTAATCCTTTCATGTTTACCAGTCCGAGCAGAGAGTGAAAGCAGAGCCCGAGGTGGGAGCTGTTCCGTTCTGACCCTTCTTGAGAGTTCTAGTGGAGAGAAGTCATGAGTGATCTGAGTGAAGCTTTTACATCACCTGTGGGTTTTAATGGCCTGGCCCCTTATAATGTTGTCGCACAATAATTATTGGCCACACCATTGATACCTGCTTGTGGAAACTGGAGTAATTTTGGTATCACTAAGGAATCCCGCTGTCTTTGCGGTGGTTGTTGTTTTATGAGATTTTCAAGGTGAATTTTGGGGGGCTTGTGCTTGATTGTGTTCGCCATGTTTATGTGAGGCTGCTTTAACATCCCCAGTTTAGAAAAGGAGGTCGACTTTTAAGAGTGGCTCACAGAATTGTCAAACCCTCCTCGCCTCCTTGCCGTATTTGTGAATGGGTTGGTGATTAAGCAGAACATTGGTGTGCAAACTGACTTTTAGGTCATCACCAGCAAGCGTCTAGGAATAAAGAATATTGCCACCCTCCTCTCCTCACAGAACATAGTCTACATGTTAACAGTACCCACTGTTCCACGTATTCGAGTCTGAAGGCAAATAAGGAATGAAGATGAGAGCACGGGGAGGGTGGTGGCGGTGCTGTGGTGCGCAAGAAATTTTACAGTTTTATTGGTGTTGCCTTTAGGAACAACTACAAAGATTACTCCATGGAGTCTAGACTGCACTTCAGAATGCAGGCAGCTCTTCACCTCTGGAGAAAACCTTCCTCAGATTGATCAGGATGTGAAGGATGGAACTTCCCCTCCATTGACACCAACGCCTGCTACAGATTAGACCTTGGATTAAAGTGGAAAAGTGATCTTGTGAATGAGAGACAAAAATTAATTTTATTACCAATATTTTCGGTCATTTATGTGGTATACTGTTGTTCTATGTGAATGCTGTTTTGTTTTTCCATATGGAGTCACAATCAGTACTATCTAGAAAATTCCTATATTTTGCCTCTCCAAGAATTTCATATTAGACTTACATTGGAAAGTGAAGAAGTCTTTTAAATGACTCAAAGGTACAACACAGTCTAATTAGATTATTTATTTATTTTTTTATTATGGGAATTAATACTGTTTAATTAGCACATAGCTTACAAGTTGAGCCATTTTTAGATCTTTTGGTCCGTTAAACTTAAGAGTTATTTTGTTGCCTAGTATTTAAATTTCAGAGGGGAAATAAAATCAATTACACTCAAGATAGCTTAATAACCTTCTGAAGACTCCTGTAAAAGACAGGCAGTGAGTATAAACAGGGAGGGGATTATGTAGTGAATAGGTTGAAAAGACCCATGTCTAGCAAAGAGGGTGACATAGTGTTAGTTTTTTTAATTCTTCGTGTAAGTTGAAAGTGGTGACATTTTTGAGAGACTGTCTTGTTTTTGAATGTACTCATTAAGCCTGTTATAATAGCAAAAATTTAAAAACTATGTATGTAAAGGGAAGAAAAAGTTATATTTTAGACATTATCCTTAGCAGTGAGAGCCTAAAATATGTACATTGATTATTTTTCTTAGAGGAAGCAAAGTTCCTGCTGCTTTACATATGTAAAATATCAATAATTTTTACACTCGTGAAGTTGGCGAGTGAGATCTAATTTTCTAATCTCTCTAGCACTGTGATGGCTCCTTGTAAATACCAGGGCTGTTTGGTCCTGCGATTGGGAAGCACGGTCAGGACACTGAGCGGAAGAGAGCCCGACTCTGGGGTCCCAGCCCTGCTGCCGGGTCGCAGCTACCAGAGCGACCTTGACGGAGCCCCCTGCCCCCCGCACCCCCATACTCTCCTTATCTGTGACATGGAAGAAGAACAGATGATTACCAGGGTCTCCTTCAGTTTTATAGCCATCAGTATTTTGGGTATTCATTTGCAGCGGACAATGTTAAACGTTTAATCCAGATCACTCCTACTTGGAGGATGTTTGTAGTTTGCAGTCATCACTATCTCTACCCCCAAGCTCCCAAATACGCATCTTCTGTGACTAAGGTCCAATTTGCATCCAGAATGAGGAAGAAAATTTGTGATCAGTGAATCAGGGTTTTGTCCTGTTTCTGCTTCTATTTTGAAGAATAACTTGTCATAAGAGCCCATGCAGCTTAACAGAAATAGCCCCAGACCGGGAGCCAGGAGCCCATCCCTCTCAGGCCCTGGGTGTGCACAAAGTCATTCACTTTGCGTTTACTTGTGTGCGTGGCGCTGACAGTGGCCCAGGTTATGTGTTTACTCCCTGCTACGTGATCCTGTCCTCAGCAGATGTTTGCCCTGGTTTTGTTAAGCTGTTAACTCTTGACCAGTATGGAGGATGTATTTCCAGTGGAGGATAGTAATACGGTTCGAACAGAGAACCACTGGGTGTGTGGATGGTGCAGTGAAGGGCTCCGTACGTGCCCTTAACATCAACTGTGTAACTTCCCTGTAGGTCCAGACAAAAGAGGAAATAAACTGTCGTCACAACTAGTCGTGGAAAATATGTTTAATAATTGTTTTTTATAGAACTATGAAAAAAACCTCGTCAGTTATCTAGAACAGCCTTGGTAGCATTATTTTTTTAAAGACACCCACATTGCTTTGCAAGAAGCTGCAAGTCAGAGCAAAAGCCAGTAAAAAATGATCTTCCTGGTATAATACTTGTGTCTCGTATACATTGTGTGTCATCCACATAGTTTAAGCTAATATTGGTTGTTTTTATTTAATTTTATCTCTGCATTATAAACAAACATAAAAGTAACTCATATCTATTTAAAATATCACTTATGTTTCTTATTTTTCTTACTTCCTATTCTTTTTGTAGTTAGCTGGTAACATGGATAACCTATCCAGTGGGTTAGGTTTTTAAGTGCTCTAATATCCCTAATGCCACAAATATTAATCCGTGGCCTGCCATGTTTAAGATAGTGTGGTGACATTGGTTTCTTGTAACATCAGCTCATATTGTATTTTTGGAGTTATTTTGTGACTCAGGCTGTTCTGTGTAGAATAGTACTGAAGTGACAATGTTTTATCTCATGTTTTGAGGGGCATATGCGGTAGGGTTGGGCTGCCAATGTGTCTGACAGTTTGTGTAGTTCTTGGTATAATTGCCTTTTTTTTTTTTAATGGAAACCAGAGTTCTGATTGGTGCTGTATAAATTTAAGACTGAAATAGATGCTATGTTTTGTAGGATGCTGACAAGGAAGGCATGACTTCTGCTTGACAACTAATGGAGGGTTGACTACATCAGGTCTCTTACGGACATATATTGTCATGTTTTTGTGCTTCCTCTGGTTACAAGAAGGTCCCAAGTTTCATTGGAAGATGGAGTCCATTGATTCTCTGTCTCTTCTGGGAGTAGGTCCAAACTGGAGGAAGATGAATTTCAGATCAATCAGCTTCAAAGAAGATTTTAAATCACTGAGACAGTGCAGCAGTGTAACCATCTCTTTGCAAAGTTGTAGGTCAGCAGAGCTGTGTGATTGTCCATTGTACTGGGCCTGGAAGCTAAGGATTTAACTTTGAGGTTAAAACACTGTATCAGTCTTTGATTGGGGCTTCAACTTAGGGCTTCAGATCAGTGGGATGTGTGTAAAAATGAAAGACTTTCTTTGAAAGTCTTTTCAAAGAAAAGTTTTCTCTTTTGAAGCTACTACTTTCAGAGGTAGTTGCCTTGCAGTATGCACTGATAGTCCCTGCTGTTAATACTAATTGTGGTTCCAATTCTCATCCGTTCCTTTAAAGGGAGTCTGTGTATGTTTTCAAACAGATGTTTTTCCTCCTCTGGACATTAAACAACAGTTTTTAAAAAAGGTCTTTGCAATCAACTGGAAAAATTTCTGAAATTACTCTGGTTCGCAGGGTCGCACTCAATCCACTGAGCTACACCCTCCAGGGCTCAAATTACTTATTAATTCTTCAATACCTAATTGAAATGCATACATATATTTGACATATTTCTAGTCTCTTTAGACATTTCTTGATCAAATACAGATAGATAAATAGAAAATAGCTTACAAGTAGTAAATAGACACTACTTTATATTATGCTTTCAGAAGTAGTACAGGCTTTTCTCCAGATCGTTTCCCTTTCCCCTGGACCAATTATTTACATATTTTTCTTTATTTGTCAAAGCACTTGTTGTGAAAGTGCTCAGTTTTGTCTTTTATACATCTTCTGTTAGATTTAGTTGCTTCAGAATGTTGAACTTGAAACTGTGAAAAGGACACATTAGAAGTTTTCATGAGGGAGAATATCCTCTGTGCTGAGCAGTTGCTGTCTGCCCTGCACGGGGCAGAAGTCCCTGCCAGTCTGTTTACAATCTCATAGCTGCAGAAAGAGTAGGTGCAAGGACTGTTCAGTGGATCGAGGAGAATGAGCAGGTTCTGGGCCTGACCCGTCCAGAGGGTATGTGGGTCTCACTTCAGAGGGAGTGAGCACCCTGTTCTGTCTAGGCTGCAGGTGTGCCAGCACAGTAACACTGCGACGTGACTGCACGGGAAAACTGGAGCAGCCACCCCGCTGTGGGCGACTCACACACAATTCAGACAGATTCCGACCAATTGGGTATTTAATAGGAAAACTCAAGCAAGCTACTTGACTACCAAGCTTCGTTAGGTAAGACTTGTTGCATATTAATGTACAATATACTTTTGTATGTTAATCCAGTAGTTCTTAGAAACGCACAATTTAACAGATGAGTGTGAGGGATGCTGGCGTGCCAGGGTGGGAACTTCTGTTTTATTGCCACTTAATGTTTTCTGTTATATTGCTTTTACTTATCAGTAGCCTGTTTGGCACCACTTCAGGGGGAAAGTGGTCTCAGTGCAACAACTGGTAGCCAGAGAAGTTGGGTAAAATGTACACATTACAGAATATTACTCAGCACCATTCATCCCCCGTCTGCCCTCTTTTACCTTTCCTCATCCTCTTTTCCTTCTGGTAATCACTGCACTCTTGCCTATACCTGTGAAGTTTTGTTTTTTGTTTTTGTTTTTGCTTCTTCGCTCAATCCCTTCACCTTTTTTACCCAGACCCCCAACCCTTCTCCCCTCTGACAGCTGTCAGTCTGTTGTTTTCTCTGAGTCTGTTTGTTAGTTGATTTTGTTCACTAGATTCCACACAGTGAAATCATATGGTATTCGTCTTTCTCTGACTGGCTTATTTCACTTAGCATAGTGCTCTCCAGGTCCATCCGTGCCTCTTCGTATGGCTGAGTAGTATTCCATTGTGTAATTGTACCACAGTTGTTTTTTCCCCCTACTCATCTACTGATGGACACTTGGGCTGCTTCCAAATCTTGGCTATTGTAAGTAATGTTGCAGTGAACGTAGAGGTGCATGTAGTCTCTGGAATCAGTGTTTTGGGTTTCTTTGGGTATATTCACAGAAGTGGAATCTCTGGGTCATAAGTCAGTCCCATTTTTTAATTGAATTGGTTTTTTGGTGTTGAATTTTATGTAAGTTCTTCATAAATTTTGGATATATCATTAGCAAATGTGTTCTCCCATTCAGTGGGTTGTCTTTCCATTTTGTTGATGGTCTTTGCTTTGCAACAGACATTTTAATTCTTTCTTGTCATTGTTGGAGTCAAGTGTTCAGGCGGCAGTTTTGGGCATAGCAAATGAGTTTAAACAGTTTTCATTAGTCACTTTTTTTCCTGAAATGATTTTATTATTTATAGTGGACAGTTGCTTTCTGTAGAGTGATTTGTTTGTTCTGAAAATGATTTACATGAAGAGGGAGATCATGGTAAACAGTGGAAATCTTAGGCTGTTTAGTCTTAAAAAACAGTGCTGTTGGTTTCTGCTTCCCAAAGATTCACAGAAAAACGTGTGCGTCTCACTGACAGGTGCTGTCCAGAAAAACCCCTCTGTGCTCCGCAGTTTTGTGTTCTCGTGGTGTCTTAGAGGAAGTTTTTGTAACTGAGTAGTTTATTTATTTTCCCCCTTTGCTACCTATTGACATTCAGATACCTGAATGAATATGAGCTGGTTTATTTATATACTAGTGTTTTAAAATATTTATTTGCACATGTTCATTAGAACTCCTGAATTTTTTGATGTTAGTTTCTAAGTCATAGGTAAAAGCAAAATATATATTTAATAAGTGAAAAGTATTATTTTATTACTCAAATTTATTTCCAAAGAAAATTTATTTTGTAGCTACTTGGGAATTTTTCTTTACCTTAAAACACACAAACAAAATAAATCTGTCTTGTGATCTAGTCACCTTAAAAACCCTTATGTTACCTTGTTATGTGGAGGGGGGGGTGTTGAAATTCTTTGGTAATGTTTATTTTTCACTTTTGTTTCAATTAAACCAAAGTAGTTAGAGGCCTCAGTGTTTTGTGAATTGATGTACAGTTTCCTGTTGACTCATTGAAGCAACCTGTATGTGCTTAATAATTCAGTGTTTTATTAGTAAAAATTGCCAGCATTTTGTCTCACTTTTTCTCATTACGTTTGAACTTAGTCTTCTCTCTTCTCCACTCCCAGCCATTGCGGTTTCACAGAGCGAGACGCTTTTAGAAACTGGAGATGTGAGTTCTGTGTGGGACGAAGTGTTAGTACCTCCATCTGCTGAGCAGGGAGCCTTGGACCTGGTACCAGAAAGGGAACTAGACTGTAGCTGTAAAGCACTTTATCAATATAAGTCAAGAAGGGAGAAGAAAACTGTGAAATTCTGATATTTTTAATATAAAACTGCATTCCCAGTGAGTATTCATTTGCTGATTTTGTGATAGTGTCATCATCTGTGATTTGTAAGCTAATGCTGATATGAGGTCAGATTTTCATCACGAAGATAATGACCCCTTGTGGCCTGTTTTTAACATTAAGACATATTGGAATATAGATATCATCTTAGAAATTGTATTGTTAAGTGCAAATAAATCATCTCGACTTGAAAGGCAAAGTTTTATTTTTCATTCCTTAGTATTACAGAATATCTTTCATTATTAGGAGCATATTTAAGTTGCCAGGTGTTCTCAGAATTCTGTATTTTCATATCGCTCCAACTGGTTTGTCTACAACCTGCGATTGAGTTTTTATTTAAATAAATTACGCTTGATGGAATTACAATCTTATTCTGGTTTGTCTACCAGGGAAAGTTGCACACGACATCTATTTTGCTGATCTTTAATTGCAGTGCATATGTACGCCTGAAATTTTATTTATTGGGAAGACTTTTTTTTAAACAGACTTTTATAGACAAACCTTTGAAGGCCCTTTATGCCATGTTCTTTGGCTGAGCACTGGACGTGAAGAGCTGAATGGAGGGTACAGTTCTCTTGAGGGAGAGTGCCTTCTTGTCCATCTTTTTAAATGATCTATTTAATAGTTCTGAGATTTCGATGAGCTGCTAATAGGTTTAGTGTAAGGAGGAATCTTTAGCATTCACTCTAACACAGTGGACAAAAGTTTGGTCTCTGGCAGTCAGGAGGGCTGCGTCTGAGGCTGCACTTGGCCAGGCACAGGCCTGTGACCCCCTTCCCAGCAACTTCTTCGGACTTTGCCGGCCTTATTCAGTTCTCAGGAGGATCAAAGCAGAAGGTATGCAAGAACCACAAAGGGCTAATCCAGCATAAAATGCTTTTCCCCACTCCTTCCCTGTGGGAGGTGGGGTCAACTGACATCTGTCACAGACCGTCCACTCCTGCCTGGGGGTGGCTTTGCATGTTATGTTTCAGTAGCGGAGGTTCTTTCAGTCTTGTGGTTCTGCCATCTTCGATGTATGGCCGTGAAGGCCACCGTTGTGCATCCAGTTGCTGAAGGACTGTGTGAGGGACGTGATGCACTTTATCCGTTCACATTCCACTGGTTCAAGCTCAGTCTGCTTGCTTGGCCTAATGGCAAAAGGGGCAGAGAAATGCAGCCCAGCTGGTGGGCTCCGGGAGAAAGGTGGGTGTGCTCAAGCTGGCCTCTGTCACGTCCCCTGAGGGCTGGGCCCACCAAGGCTTTCCCACCGTGTTCCCTGCCTTCACATTTGTCTTTTGTTTTTGGCACAAGCAGCTTTGTGGGTCTGGGAATAAATTAGTTACAATTCTTTCGATTGAAAGTAGAGAAACCAACTCGAGCTACTCTAAAAACAACAACCTGAGGAGGACTGCATTAAATGGAAAGAGGGTATAGAGTGCCCTGTGCAATCCATGGGCAGGAATGTGGGATATAGATGAATAATGTTAACCACAAACTTAAAAACGAGCTCTTTCTATAAAAGCAGTTAGGGTCCTTATCTGGCTTTTTGCAGACTCCCTTGTATCTAAAAGGTAGAGTGTCATGAGATTTTGGGAGGGGGAAAAGCCAAGCATATAATCTGAAGTTTTAATGAAGAAAATCGGACGCTTGAAAACAAGAAGCAGCTGTGAGGGGAAGGTCTGTGTGCGTTTTTAGCCCCACTTTGAAAGGCTCAGATTGTCTCTGTGGCAGAAGGCAGCAAATTGTCACAAATCTTGTTTTCTGAGAAACCAGTTATATCAACATTACTGCTACAGCAGGCATGCCAAAAATAACATGAAAAGAACTGACTGCAAATCTATTTAGAATTAAGCCAGTAATTATTGCGTTTGTGATCATTTCCAAGAATTGTTCCTACCCAAATATTACATGGGAAAAAAGAAGAGCTCATTCTAGCCCTGAAAGTTCCCATTTCCTTTTTCTTTACTTAATGGTTTATGTTAATTTTTAAAATTATTTACCTCTGTTATATTTTTTCCATTACCATTTCATCCCCTTACACCACTCTCCCTGCAGCAACCCCCACACTGGTGTCCATGTCCATGAGTCCTTTTTCCTTTTTGCTCAATCCCTCCACCCCCTGCCCTCTGCACCTGCTGTCCATCTATGAGTCCGTCCCCATTTGTCTTGTTTGTTCATTAGCTTCCACATGAGGGAAATCATACAGTATTTGTCTTTCTCTGACTGGCTTATTTAAATTAGCAGAATGTTCTCCATCCAGGTCCATCCATGCTGTTGCAAAGGGTAAAATTTTCTTCTTTTTTATGGTAGAGTTCCATTGTGTAAATGTTCTATAGTTGTTTTACTCACTTATCTATTCATGAGCACTTGGGCTGTGTCCAAATCTTGGCTATTGTAAATAACACTGCAGTGAACATAAGGGTGCTTATGTGCTTTCAAATTAGTGCTTTGGATTCCTTTGGATAAAATGCCAGAAGTGGCAGTCTTGATGCTGGGTTGAAAGGTGGATCTATTTTTAATTTTTTGAGGCATCTCCACACTGCTTTCCACATTGCACCAGTCTGCATTCCCACCAACAGTGCAAAAGGGTTCCCCTTTCTCCATCTCCTCGCCTGCACTTGTTTGTTGATTTACTGATGATGGTCATTCTGACAGGAGTGAGATGGTATCTCATTGTGGTTTTCATTTGCATTTCTCTGATGATTAGTGATGTTGAGCATCTTTTCATGTGTCTATTGGCCATCTGTGTGTCCTTTTTGGAGAAGTATCTGTTCAGGTCTTTTGCCTATTTTTTAATTGGATTGCTTGTTTTTTTGTTGTTAAGTTATATAAGTTATTTATAAATTTCGATAATTCTTTACTGAATATATCGTTGGTGAATATGTTCTTCCTTTCTGTGGGTGGTCTTTTCATTTTGTTGATGATTTCCTTTGCTGTGCAAAAACTTTTTAGTTTGATGTTTTCCCATTTGTTTATTTATTTTGTCTCCCTTGTCTGGGGGGATACATCCAACAAAAAGGTGCAATGTCCGAGATTTCGCTGCCTGTGTTTTCTTCTAGAATTTTTATGATTTTGGGTTGGTATTAAGTCTTTGATCCATTTTGAATTTATTCTTGTGTGTGGTATGAGAAAGTGGTCTAGTTTCATTTTTCTACACATATCCATTTTTCCCAACACTGTTCATTGAATAAACTGTCTTTAGCCCATTGTGTGTGCTTGCTTGCTCTGGCGAATATTAATTGACTGTAAAGGTGTGGGTTTGGCAAACTCTGGGTGAACGTGGAGGTAAGAATGGGGACAGTGGAGCCAGTGGGGACGCAGCTGGACTCCACTCCTTTCGTTCAGAAAACGGCTTCTCTGAAGAGACGTGGAATCCTTCATTCAGGAAAGTAGATTTTTTTCTAGGAAAGTAGATTTTTAAAAAAAGATAACAACATAGTTATGTAGGAAATCTCCCTTTACTGAGTATTCACCCAGCTCCCCCCACTCTTCTGTATTCCTCCTACAAGGCAGAGCCACGAGCAGACCATGTACGTATTTATGGTGCTCATTAATCTTGTACAAAATAGGTATTTTCTGACATCTTAGTGCTGTGGGGGGTTCTTCTTTTCTAATCCTGGTTGGGTTTATGCCTAACTATTATCCAGAAGGAACAGGATGCATTCCTCCTTCACTCTTTCTCAACCACGTGATCCTCCCAAGGCCAAGTCAGGCAAAGCTTGACCCCAAAAGCTGACTTCCTGACTAGTGGGCAGGAAGGTAGGCACTGCTGTTAAAATAGCTGCACGATGTATCCTGTCGCTGAGACCGTGGCTCTTGGACTGAGGTCTTACGTTTGGAAACTTCTGAGAAGGTTCCTCTCATCTGCACAATGAAGACAGTCACTGGTGTGATGCTCTTTTCGACATCCGGTCTCATTCATTTTCAGGACCTGCCCCTGAGACTTTTAGCAATCTGTGTGTGGCGCACCGGTGCCCGTGGGGCTGAGTGCGCGGGGTCTCACCTTTCCACAGCGGACCTTGTGCAAATCCATTTTTGACAGGGTGGGGACGCACAGTGGGGAGGAGGCACCAGTGCTGTCTCTGTTCTCTGTCTGAGTAGGCGGCGAGATGGCAGGAGCCGTGGGGGCGTGTTTCAGGTTGGGGCGCCTCTCTCTGCCTCCAGGGTGCCTCCTCATCTTCCCAGATGAGGTGTGTGTCCTTGGACTTGGTTTACTCAGGGTGTCCAAGGTTTCGATGAACAAAACCCAGGGCTGATAGTGACTGTTGGGTATGTCGTTGTGTAGACTGTAGGAATCCAAAGAGCACAGGTTCCCTGTAACTGGTGTTAAAGTCCTGTGTCTGCCATTGGTTATGAAGCAATCAGCCAATGCCGGGTGATAGACTTGCCCAGGCTTAGAATCCATTTTTAGGGCTCACTCTGATTGAATGCCCAGGCTACAGGGAATCATGAACTCCACAATTCTTCCATCTTTCCTCCAGATGAACTTTCCATATTCCCCATGAACATTTGATGCTCAATTTTATTGCCCCTAAAAGTGATCACTGAACATCTTCTAAAATTGTAGTATGATAGATTTGATTTTATCTTTTCCTTTTTCACCTCTTTCATTGATGTTGGTTTCCTGACTTATTGGAGCAATCTTCTGCCGTCTGAAGGAAGGGTCTGTGAAGCTTGGTCCAAAGGACAGTGTCCGGTTCCAAACCAGCACCTTCTTTCTCCAGACGGCCTCCAGCAGCCAGCCCGCTACTGGCTGTCCTTTCATTACTGCCTTTTGTGGGTTCGCCCTGGAATGAGGTGAGCAGCCCCTGACTCTCCAGCTGCTTTTTTCCGCATCCTGCCGTTGCTCGTCCTTGGGACGGGCCTGGAGCCCAAGCTGAGGCTACTTCCTTTCCTGTCTCTGTTGGATGTGCAGCCACAGAGCAGCCCGGGGAGTTCGCAGTCCGAGCTCGTGGCTGCACAGGGCTGGCACGGTGATGAGGTCCTTCCTTGTGCTGTGTTGTTTTTCACAGACTGACTTAACCAGAGCCCTGGGCACAGACTCTCACAGAACCAGCTCTGTTAGACCTGGTCAGGCACTCGCACTTACCGAGGTAAGTTGGGCTTCTGGTCTCGACAGGCTGGGAATGATGCACAGAAGAAAAGCTGGGCACTTGCTAGGCCTTTCACCCCATCCGTAGGTCCATGGGTTGGGGACGCCGGCTGTGCCTGATGGAGACGATCGGTGGTGCAGTGGCTGCTGTTTTCGTTGTTAAACAAACGTACACTCTTCTCTTGATGTATTTTGTTTTGTATCCAAATTGTTCAGATAATGCAGAGTATGAATGACCTGACACCTACTGACTGAGACAAGCAGGGATTTAAATTAGTAGGCAATT